AATCCGCCTAAATAAGACTATTAACGCCGTAAATAGCTAGACCAGTACGGACCAAAAGATCTAGTAGATTAACGCCGGGCTTAAAATTATATTTAAAGGAGCTTTTAACGTAAAGAAGCGCCTTATTATAAACTAAAGGGCGTTATTAAGAGGTCTATTAACCTGTATAGAGAAGGAAGCTATTATACTAGATCTAGCTATTTATATAGGCTAGTATTAAAAGGTCTTATATATGTTAAAATAGGTAAAGTTAACTATTTAGGTATAGGGCTAGAACTTAAAAGGAATTCATACGGCGGAAGGTCGGGCGGAAATTAGTAATTAAGAATATAGTATAATATACCTAGTTTTCCTGTTATATAATATATCGTATATATTAATGCCCTAGCGGATGCCTCTACCGAAGGGGTAATCGGTTTAATAAAGATTATAATTCATATTAATATTAAAGTAATTATTTAATATATTATAAATTTAATCATATCTTTCATCTAGTCTAATATAATAAAAATAGAATTCCTCTATATAATCGGCTAATATATTTAAAAAAAAACCTATATAATATTAGTTTTTTATAATTTTAAATCAATAATAAAAGTTAATGAATATGTAGACTTTATTATAAAGGATATTATATAGCTTCCTTATATAGTTCTTTTTTTCAAATCATATAATTATAATAAAGTTATATAAGCTATTTTAAATCGGTTATTTTAATAGAAGTTTATATATAAAAGTAGGTTTATTTTATATTAATATCGTACAGTAAGGTATTTAAAGAAATATCTCGACTTTATAAGAAAATTAAACTCCTAATAGAGCTTATCGTATAACTTATTCGAGCAATTTATTTAAAATTAATTAGTAAAATAGAGTTTATTATATAGGTTTTAATTTATACGTTTATTTACTTCGTATTCAAATAGATATTTAATATAAATATATATATATAAGATTATTAATATATAAAGATTATTAATATATAAAGCCTATTTAACTTCTTTATATACTATAACTACCTATAATATAGTTTTTAATTCCTCTTTCAAAATATTTATTAATTAAATAAGTTACTTAATATAGTTTCTTTTTTTAAGTATCAAAAGGTCTCAATCTTTAAGGATTTATATAAGTTTTTTTTAAAAAGACTTAATTAATTTAGAAGAAATAGTTTTTTTATTTATCTTATAAAGTAAATTTTTTTTAAATATAATTTTGAGCCTAACATTAATTATTAAATCTTTTAATTTATATTAATTTCATTATTTATAATATTAATAGTTTTATTTAAACGAATTCTATATTATCAAAAAGCTTTATACTAGTCCTTAGGCTTATTCTTACTAGTTATAATTACTTTAATATTAAGCTAGCCGAGGGCGCATAGCCCGAGAGGGGCCAACTTATTAATTAATATTATTAAAGTGTCCTAGCCTGCCGAGTACTAACTATATATTATTTATGAAGTAGGTATATATTAAAGTAGTTATCCCCTCGGCGGAGGCATCCGCCAGGGCACTAATATATATAATATATTATATAACAGGAAAACTAAGTATATTATACTATATTCCTAATTATTAACTTCTGCCCGACTTTCTACTATATAAATTCCTTTTAAATTCTAGCCCTATACCTAAATAGCTAACTTTATTTATTTTAATATATATAAAACCTCTTAATATTAGCTTATATAAATAATTAAATTTAATATAATAGCTTTTTTTTATATAAATCAATAGACCTTTTAATAATACCCTCTAATTTATAATAAAATATTTTTTTATATTAAGAGCTTTTTTAAATATAATTTTAAATTTAATATTATTTTAATAAATCTTTTAATTTATATCAATCTAGTTATTTACGGTATTAATAATCTTATTTAAATAGATTTCATATTATTAAAAGGCTCTATATTAGTCCTTAAACTTACCCTTACTAGCTATAATTACCTTAGTATTAAGCTAGTTAAAAAAGGCGCCTAGCTTAAAAGGGGCCGACTTATTAATTAATATTATTAGCCCGCAAAATACTAACTATATATTACTTAAATAAATATATATTAAAATAGTCATCTAAGTAGCCTATGATTTAACTAGTTATTTAATAATTTATTTAGCTAAGGTATATTATAATATTTATTTAATAGTATTTATTTAATAACTTTACTTTATTTATAATTGTAAAATACTAGCTATATTAGCCCTTTCTCTAAAAGCCTCTGTATTAATATTAAAATTTAGAATATCTCTAATAAATATAAATAAGTCTCCTTTATCTATCCACTTTTAACCTTTATACCCGACCTTAATAATCAACCTTTATTATTAACTTTAACGGCCTATATTATTATTTAAATATATTATTTTATATATCTTTAATAATAAATAACCTAACTACCTATATTATATTATATCTTTTAAATTAAAATTACTTTATTAAGTTAAGTATATATATAGGGTATACTATATATATTATATAATTATATTATATACCGTGTTATATAATTTTCTTTAGAAATTAATCCTATTAAGGTTAATTTTTTACGCCTATAAAGCTAAAAAAAAAAAAACTACTAACGTATATAATAAACGAGTGGGCTAGATAAGCAAGTAGGCCACCTAACCGCTATAGTGCCACCTATATTATTATAATATACATTTCTCTATTAAAAACGATAATAATATATATTAAAAATATTTAATTAAATTTAGTAATTTAGGCTATTTAAAAAGACCGAAACTTCAATATTTAGGTTATAATAAAGATCTATAATATTAATTATATTATTTTAAGCTATACACTAAAAGGAACGTGATTATAATATAATAATACACCTAATTTACAGAATTAAATATTATTAAAAATAGAAAAAAAACTAATTAAATATATTTTTAACTTAAATATTAGATCTTTTCCTTTTTATTTTTATAATATTAAAAAAATGATAAATCGATTATTTATTAATTATAATACGCCCTATATTAGGAAGTAATAAGCTTTAAACTTTATAAAACAATAATTATAATTATAAATATATCGTTTTTATAAATACGATTATAAAAGGGCCTAATATAAAAATCTAATTATAATAAATATATAATTCTTATTTATAATAAATATAATTATAAAATATAGTATTATAGATTTAGATATTTATAACTTTAATAAGACTAGCTTTATAGTAGGCTAAATCTTAATTAATATAATTATAATTAATACTAAAAGGCGTTTAAATACGAAAATAATATAACTTAATAATTGTAAATAGGTTATAATTATTTAAGTTATTAATTTATTAAGTTATAGTATCCTATTATATATTATTATTATAGGTTAATATTATTTTTTTATCTAATATATAAAATCTAGTCTCTTATATAATTAAATTATTATAATATTTAAAAATAAATAAATAATAAATAAAAGAGGCCTAAATTAAGCTCGGTATTTTAAATAATATATAAGACCGTATAAAAAGGGTTAATATTATTTTTTTATTATTAACGGATATAAAAGTTATTATGTTATAGATTTTAAGCTTTTTTATTAAAAAAAATATTATTGTTATTTATATATACTGGCTGATTTATTTTATTCATTTTAGTCTTTAAATATTAGATATTTTAGGCCTTTAAAAATAATATATAGTTAAGAAATTAAGGATAAAACATATTAGGGTAATATATATATTATTAAAGAGGACTTTTTTTCGGCATTTTATAGGGCTTTTATATAAGTAATTATAAAAAAAATATTTAAAGAGTATTTAAAGGGGTAGGGTTTATATTTTTAAATATAGAAAGTATATTTTTAAAGTTTAATATAAAGTTATATATTTTAATATTTTTAAGATCCTTCTCGATAATATTTTTAATATAGACTTTTTAAATATTAAATAACTTAATTAAAACGTTTTTATAATTATAATTTATTAAAAATAAAATTGCTTATTATTAAAATAGTTTTTTAATTTTAATTATCGAAATTATAAAATGTTTATTTAAAGGGGCTTATAAGTTTATATATTAAATCGCTTTATTAAGATCCGAGAATTAGATCTTTTAAAAGGAGAATAACCTATTTAGTTTATATTAAAAAATTAAAAAAAACCGTTTTTAATAAAAAGGAAGTTTTATTATAATTAAGAGAGAGGATTTTTAGTTATAAAAAGAGGCTATAGCCTAGGTAAAAAAGAAAATATATTAGAATAATAATTATTAATTAAGGATTAAAATGGGTTAATAACAATAAAATATTTATAAAAATATTAATTATAATATATAAATATATTAATTTAATAAAGAAATATCTAAAAAAAAGAAATTTAAATAGTTTAGATTAAATAAATAAAACGGTTATTAATATTTATACCTTTATATTATATAGTTGTGGTTAGGTGGCCTACTCGCTTATCTAGGCTACTCGTTTATTATATATATTATATATTAATTAATAATTATAAAACTTAAAATAAATTCTTTTAAAAACCTTAAACTTCTTTTTATTAGTTTAAATAACTTAAATAATCTAAATAATATAAAAGTTTATTAAACATTATAGTTATAAAGTAATTAATAGCAAGATAGAACACTAAAATAGATAATCATAGGCTCCTTACCTGAAAAGGTTAAGGGCGCCTTACTACGCACGCTCGGGACCGATGTGTACACATATTTATGGATAGACTTACTATCCGCCCGACTATATATTCCTACACTTATGGGGAGGGCTCCATTTTCAACATTTCTCTTACTCATAGACCCGATTGCGCCATCAACCCACAATAAGACATGATGCCAGAGAAGAAATTGACTGTCTACACACAAGCATGCCTTGATAAAAGGACTTTGGAGGCTCAAATCCCACGTGGAATTCTTTGGCTTGAGCCTCTTTCCTCATTTGTCTCCCTGCAGCTTCCTTTGCGGCAGATAAAGTTCAGATCGATATTACACGCTACCATTGTTCGTAGGTAGTTTTTTGAACACGACTGAGCCATGTCCGGAACTACCCACACCCACGACCGGGACCCGGGTCAAACGGGCCTTGCGCCGAGACCTGGCTCGGCCTCGAGCCGTAGTCCGAGCCCCGCTCCGAAAGCCAAGCCTCTTTTTCGATCAGTACCTTTCCAGATTCTCGTCGCTTGTGGCGTATCCTTCACAGCCCCTGGCATGTGGGATGCCCTGGGCGGGCTCGGGGCCGGTGGCGCCGCTGAGCCATATGCTGTAAGCGCAGCCAACGCTCTTGGTATGACTTCCAATCCAACAAGCTTTGTTTGATTTCTTGGCTTGATTCATTAACCCCCCTACGAAGTCTATGGCCTATTCGCGGTCGTCTGTGTCGCTGCAGGCGCCATCAACAATCGTATCGGTCTGCCATATGGGTTAGCTCTGGGTGCCATAGGCTACCCGCTCTACGGCGCCGGCTTGTATACGAATAACGTCAGTGCCAACACTTGGTTTATGTTGTTTGGCAGCGCCCTTTGCGGCATCTCTGCTGGATTTTTCTGGGCAGCTGAGGCCGCCATCATCATTGGCTATCCATCCCCTGGAGACCGAGCATTCTATCTCGCTATCTGGCAAACAGCCAAGGCTGCAGGTCCCATCGTGGGCGGTGCCATCAACCTGGGTTTGAATGCAAACCGGAAGACCACGGGATCCGTCTCGTCATCAACTTACATCGTTTTCATTGTCATCATGTGCCTTGGTCTTCCCATTGCGCTGTGTTTATCACCTGCTGACAAGGTCTGGCGCAAAGACGGAACCGTCATCTCAACACCGAGAGCTCCGACATGGGGGGCAGAGTTCAAGGCCGTCGGGAAGCTGTTCACCAGCCGCAGGATCTTGCTACTACTGCCAGCCTTCTTCATAAGCTACTTCTATAACGGTTTCATGAGCACTTGGCTCGCGACCTATTTCACCGTGCGCTCGAGGGCGTTTTCGAGTTTCTTCACCAACTTTGCGGGCATCTTCAGCTCCTTCATGATCGCCGCGCTGTTGGACAACCAGAGGATCCATATCAAGAGCCGTGGCCGTATCGCATTTGTTTCCATTGTCTTTGTTCTTGTGGGCACATGGATATGGGCTACAGTACTACAGAAGCAGATATACGACGCAAGTGAGCCGCCTGCTTATGACTGGTTTCAGGGGGGATTCGGAAAGAGCTATGCCCTCGTTTTCTTCTGGCAATTTGGTGGCCAGGCCTTTCAACAATTCTTATACTGGCTCGTCGGCCAGTATGCGACAGATCTTTCAGACTTGAGTCGTCACACTGGCATTCTAAGAGGTACAGAGGCCTTGGGTCAAACTGTTGCCTGGGCGTAAGTTATCTATATACTCCTCTCCCTCGTTGAATCTCTATACATCACCAAAACGATTATCGGATGCTGAAAATGTACCACAGTATGCAATCCGAAGGCAACGCCAACCACTTTGTTAGCATTGGTCTCAACTTTGGCATAACAGTTCTCTGCGTCTTTCCCACCTGGCTGGTGCTGTCTGCACTGGAAGGAAGCCACGAGGAGAGAAAGACTAGCCCCGAACGCCCCATAGATGATATTGAAGAGGAGGATATTGGAACAAAGGCAGCGGCCAAGTAAGTGCCCCTAGATCGCACAGATACGCACCTTGTGGCTTGGGGAATGGATTCAACCCCTGGCAGCTACCAAATTCGGACTGTCCATACTTTCTACGCGATACCCCAATATTAGATAACGCACCAAACTTGAAGGTTTGGTTCCTTATGCATGGAGGCAATTGGTTCGTTTCATCACCGTGATCAAGCTAGCGTTGACCTCTCGCGTTTTACCGACATCGTTGATGAAGATGCGGTGCCCCTAATCGCATCTCTGGAAATGGTCACGCCTTGAAGGAACAAAACCACGTCTTCAAGTCAGGCAACGAAGGCTAGAGTCCACAGCAGCATTCATCGTTGGCCATGCTGCCCTAACTAATGGAATGCAAGCTGCAAGGACGGGTGGCTAGGCCGATGGACATGGCACATAGCCATCAAACACCTGAATAGGGGTAGGGTTATCGGTTCTGATTGTGCTTTATTGCACCATCATGTGGTATATTTCAACTATCTCTTTTGTTTAACGCCCATCCCAGTTTTCCTTGCCGTTTCCCGTTTTCTTTTTCATAACTACAATGCCCAAGTATCCAGATTAATCACTCTGCAGTGCGGCTCGCCGCCCGTCCTCTGCACCAGTTGTCCCAATCGAAGGACCTTCTCACCGGCAGCTTCAAGGGCTGCCACGGTAGCATCAACCATGGCCGCATCTACCGCAGCCACCATGCCCACGCCGGTATTGAAGGTACGGACCATCTGGTATGGTTCCACGTTACCGCCCGTCTTTAGCCATCTGAAGACAGCGGGCATTTCCCAGCTGGTCAAGTCGATCTCGGCAGCGAGGTGCTCCGGCAACATGCGAGGAACATTGTCAATCAAGCCGCCTCCGGTGATGTGAGCCAGGCCCTTGACGAGGCGTTTTTCAATGACGCCACGCAAGCTCTTGACATAGATCTTGGTGGGTGTCAGCAGGCTCTCGCCCACCGTCTTGCTAGCATCCCACGGAGCAGGATCGGTGTATGCGAGACCCTCGCGTTCAAGAATGCGGCGGACCAAGGAAAAGCCGTTGGAGTGGACACCACTTGAGGCCAAGCCCAGCAGCACATCTCCGGCAACCATGTCATCTTGACGCGGCAGTCTTTGACTGTTGATCATGACGCCGACCGCGCAGCCTGCAGCATCATAATCATCCTTTTGGTACATTCCAGGCATCTCAGCAGTCTCGCCACCGACAAGTGTACATCCGGCATCGATGCAGCCTGCCGCAACACCTTCGACAAAGGCAGCAGCCGTGCTCATCTCCAGTTTGCTGCAGCCGTAGTAGTCCAAGAACATCAGAGGCCTGGCACCCTGGACAACGAGATCATTGACATTCATGGCGACCAAGTCGATGCCCACGGTGTCGTGCTTGCCCATTTGTTGAGCAATCATAAGCTTGGTGCCAACACCGTCAATAGCTCCGACGATGACGGGAAGTTCGCCATTCTTCAGCCCAAGGCCGCACTTGGCCAAGTCAAGCTCACCACCGAAACCTCCAATCTCAGCATCCGCTCCCGGCTGCTTGGTGGAGCGTACGGCTTTCTTGATTCTCTCAACGAACTCATTGCCCGCATCAACGCTGACGCCGGCTCCAGCGTACGTCAGAGCTTCCTTTCCCTGCTGTGACCGGAAGGCACGATGGGCAATATCCTTGCGATAGTACATCTTGTTGAAATCGATGAGCGTGAGACCTTGCTCATACGCCTTCTTCACGGCGGCCTCGAGGGAGTCGGCAGTGGCGTTGACTGCAATTACACGGCCGCCCGAAGTCTGTAATTGGCCCTGTGGGGATAGCTTGGTTCCTGCGTGGAAGACAGTGATATCCGGCGATGATGACTGGTTGACCACCATGGGCGTACCCTTTGCATAGGAGCCAGGGTAGCCACCCGCAGCAACGACTACAGTGGCACTGTATTTGTTCTCAATCTTGATGTCGACACAGTCAAGGCGGGCCTCGTGAGCCGTGCAAGCCATCATGATCTCGGCGAGATCCGTTTCGGAAGAGAGGAGCGGAAGAACAGTCTGCGTCTCGGGGTCGCCGAATCTAACATTGTACTCGAGTACCTTGGGGCCTTGGCTGGTGATCATAAGGCCGGTGAAAAGAATGCCACGGAAGGGATAGCCGGCCTTGCGCATTCCGGTGATGGTGGGCTGAATCACATCCTCTTCGATCTGGCGGATGAGCTCCTTGGTAGCGATGGTCGTCGGAGCGTAGCAGCCCATACCTCCAGTGTTGGGACCTTGGTCACCATCCCCGATTCTCTTGTGGTCTTGAGCGGGGGGTAGAGACAGAGTGTGAGTGCCGTCGCTAAAGGTAAGGATGCTCAACTCGTCGCCGGTCAGGAACTCCTCGATGACGACCTCGTCACCGGCGGTGCCGAAAGCCTTGTCCACCATGATCTGCTTGAGGGCATCCTTGGCCTCTTGCTTGGTTTCGGGGATGATGACGCCCTTGCCGGCAGCGAGACCGGTGGCTTTGATGACGACGTCGTGTGACACTTGCTCAATGTAGGCGACGGCTTTCTCGTAGTCGGAGAAGTTCTCATAGGCGGCAGTAGGAATGTTGTAGTCTTTCATGAAGTCCTTGGAGAAGGTCTTGCTTCCTTCCATTTGTGCTGCTTCCTTGGAGGGTCCGAAACAAGGAATGCCGGCGTCACGGAAGTAAGCCTCAACACCGTCGACGAGAGGGGCCTCGGGACCAGGAACGACTAGATTGACAGATTTGGTCTTGGCGAGCTGGACGAGGGCGGGATAGTCGTCGGCGGCGATATCCTCCACATTGGTGGTCTTGGGACAGGTGGCGGTACCTCCATTGCCTGGAACCGCAAGGATGGAGACGACACGAGGTGACTGGCTGAGCTTCCACGCGAGCGCATGCTCACGGCCTCCGTTGCCAATGAGCAAAACGCGCACACTATCGGCCGAAGTCATGGTGAGGGACGAGATTTAGAACAAGTAGCAGCACTGAGGGACCTGGAGAAGGATTGATCAGCCTCTAGGTAGAACACCAAGGAGCATAGACAGACACGAGACTGAGAAATCGATCTAGCGGGGGGGTAACGAACGTGGATCGCGTAATTAAACGTCCAGGTATGAGCACCAAGCGTGAGAAGGGCCGAAGATGCAGTGAGAAAGAATACTAGAATGTGCCGTCTGTCTCATACGTGCATAAGAGCATTGGTGATGACGGACGGATGGACGATGATTCACTTTCGAGGCGACTCAGTGACGTGAAAAGTTTCTTTGCTGCACCTCCACCGTCGGAGGGGGGGGATTCGGGAGACCTGAACGAGGGGCAGCTAATAACGGTTTACTGTTGCGACGCCGGCGCAAGGAAAAAAAAAATGGTTTGACTGCCCCTCCAACACTAATTTGGCCTAGGGCGGGGTGACATGGGTGGGTCACTAGGGAAAGAAGAAAGAGCGCGACCGGGGTGGATTTAGCGCGAGAATTTCCAGCGCAAAGTGCAAAATAACCTACCCCACCTTCCCTTTCTGTCCTCCAGACGGGCAGTGCCTGTTACTGTCACTGTCAATTCGACCGTCTACCTTAGCTCATTCTTGGAAGTAAGGTAGGTGCCCTTAGGTTGGTGGCTCACCACACAGGAAGGTAATCTGGCAGGTACCTTACTTTTGTTACAATGCTGTCGAATGCCACAAGGTATTAAAATAAGGCAGATATTGACATTGCCCCTGCTCAGAGACCCCAAGTCCCAAGCCAATCGGCACAGAAACACAAACGTCTGGTTTGGAGAAATTTGATTGTCCTTGGTCCGATGTAAATCAAAATGGCCAGGTCAACCGCGTCAACATCTAAGGTATTTCTTCATCCTATAGACCTAAAGAACAAGCCGAGGCAGAACAGACTGCTCCAGCTCGTCGACACTGCCACTGCTAATCAAGAGCGCATACTCGTTGTACGCCGCATTGAGTATCACATCCCGGCTGCTCGCATTTCCCCATGGCTCAGCGCTATCTGAAGCATCCGCGCCGTTGACTTTTCGATACCACTCTAGAGCCAGGTGATGCAGACCGAGCATGTGGAAAGTTCTCGCCACGCCGAAAAATGCCTCCCTCCTTTCGTCCAGCGTTCCAGAAAGCTTAGAGTGGCAGAATTCAAACACGCAGGCGAACCCTTGCATGATAAGATACTGACGATTATCAGCCTGCCGCTTGAGAGCGTGATGGATGTATCCTAGTCCGACACTAAGACTGATCATGGGATTCAAGGGGTCAAGAGTTCGTGCTCTGAGGAAGTAATCTAACGCAAGGGCACACATGTCAGCCCAGGTCCCTTTGGAAAAAAGTCCGTTGTTGGTTGGACTCACTCAGTGCAAAAGTGTAGCTGGTCGAAGTGAAGAGAATATGCCCGTAAAGCATCAGCAAACAGGTATCGAGCTGTTTGGCCTCGGCAGTGCTAGTACGATCACCGACTGCGACATCATAGCCCCTGTCCGTCTGTGCCGTCCCAAGGTGAGAAGCGTCAATGATCTTGATCTGGCGCAATATGTATTTCTGCGCAGGCCCTGAATTGTACCATGACGCTGGAGACTGGCATAGTCTGCATAACGCGGCGAACATGCGGTATGAATCCGAGTCCAGCTGCCGTACCTTCATAAAGAATCTAGCGACAGCTACACACATCTCCTCGTCAGAAAGATATATGGCGCATGCTTGTTTATCATTCCATCAGTCAATCATGCATCTCGAACAGCACTGGAGGAGATCTGGCGTACCCGCCCATGCGACATGGATCAAGAACATGTAGTCCTTGGAGTTGACGAACACAATGGAATCTCGAGCTGCTTCGCAGACTTGGTAGGCCTCCTCGGCACGGTTGTCGAGGGCAAGACTGATGGCGTAGTCAAGGAAAAGTTCGAGCCATTCGCCGAAAGGGATGCCCCTATAGCCGTCGTCCTCGTACATCACGTTTGTTCTCCTCTCATCTGTGAGAGATGGTGCCATATCTGTAGAAACTTAGCATGAGTGCATAGGTATAAAATGAGCGGGAGGCGATCAGTTGCATACTCTTTGACAATCTTTCTGCCAGTTCAGAAAGGCCAGGCTGAGTTCGGGATGAAGCGCTAAACACAACATCATTGGCAGCCCCAAGAAACTTGAGGTACTTGTCCCAAGGATAGAACTTCCTGAAGGATCTGAACTCGCCCACAAGATCGCCGGCAGCGGCCATCCATGTTGGTATTAGGGAGTGGTCGCCTGCTTGTATCTCCTTCTTCAGGCTACGCACGACTTCGTACCGCCTAGTGAGCTCATCGGCCCGGGCCCGTTCCTCTTGCATCCGTTGATCGGGAGCTACAAGCCTCTTCGGGCGATATCTAGGGCGAACAATTCCGGTGTTCGCAGGCTGACGCTTGTATTCTCGTCTGCGCCGGGATTTGGTGCCATCAGCCAAACCTGAGGCTGATAAACGGTGATTTCCAATGCCACCCATATATCCACGGCTGTCACCAGTCATCCCCCCTTCGTCATTGATGCCCTGAAGGGCAATGGCTTCAGTTACGAGAATGTAAGCTTCCTCCTCCTCCTTTTCTTTTTCGTACATCGCAGCTAGTTCAATACGAGCGTCGATGCTGGTCTCGTCGACTTGGATAGCCTTGAGAAGGCAGTCCTCTGCTGCAGCGTTGTCGGATTTCCTTAGGTAGCAGCGGCCGAGTTGAAGCAGTAAGGTAGCGTCTTGCCCGTATATGGAATTTCGCAGCAGTTCGTAGTAATCCAGCGCCTCCTGGTAGCGTTGGACAGCGCAGAGTTCATCTGCAATGTCTCGAACGAGGTAGGGAAAGTCCTCAATCGCTGTAGCCGTTGCAGATTCATTCGGATCTAACCACTGTAGATGTAGCTAGCAGAGTATCAGTGATTGCTTGAGACATCTTAAGTCACCAGAAGACCATAGTGAACATACATTCGATTCCTCCTCGTCGCGGATCTTCAGCCGATAGAGAGCAAGACGGGCCCTGAATTCCAGAGGCAGCCCCAGACCATAGGCATACATGTTGTAGGCAGAAGGGTCGAAAGAGGGGAGTTGAACACGGCGAGAATGGTCACGATCCCACTCCCTATCGTCGAAACAAGCATCCCACGTTTGATCGTTCGGTCGTCCGAGTAGCCAGCGTGAAAGCGACTTCAGATCTGCAATGGCGGTTGCGAAGTCTCCGGCGCAGGCGAAGAGCTCCACGTAAATTCCGATATCGTGCCATGATAGCTCTCCCCCTCCTTCCTGCTCAGTACCTCGTGCGTGTGCGAAGTACGTCTTGTAGGCTGAGACAGCCTTCTGGATATCTTCTATGCTCTCAGAGTCGCTGCAAGCTTCGGCCAATCGCCGAACGACATCTATGTCCAGCGGTCGGCGCTCAAGGACGTAGGTGAACTCAGTTATAGCCTGGGAGAAGAAGCCCTGGCGGTGGCTTGCTTCGGCTCTACCTAGTCTCGCTTCGAGGTCTGTTGGTTGAGCCTTGATTGCAGACGAATAGCACATGAGAGCAGTCTTGAGAGCGCCGTCTTGGCCCTCTTCGGCAAGACTCATGGCAAAGGAAGCACAGTCCATCCATACTGGGAAGTCTTTGGGCCTTAGATGAGCAGCAATAACCATGGCCATCAGCGCCTGGTCGTTGGCGCCTTCTTCTCGGAAGATGGATGCTAGAACCGTCCATGCCTGATGAGTTTCGGCGTTGATTCTGATGATCTCGAATACAAGATCCCGAGCCAGGGCATAGTTTCCACTGATAAACGCCTGATTCACTCCCGCAAGACGAAGCTTGATGTCGCCTCTGGGCTCAGCAGCCTTTCGGGGACCTCGGATGGAGCGCGAAGCATGCTTGCTCCTCGATGTCGGTTGAGCCTTCCTCAATTCTCCGTCATCGCCATCAATGCCGGTGCCAACGTTGCCCCCAGCAGTTTGACGTGAAGAGAGAAATTCTCGTACAGACTGTTCCCACTTGGCGATATCGCCTCGGAGCTCCATTTCATCTGAATCGGCATCCGAAACGAAATCCTCCTCTTCGTCATCAACGTGGGCATCGTCTCCAGCCTCGGCTTCTTTCCATGTCGGATCCATGGTGGCCAGGCTGGACGAAGCAGCCCGGTGTTGATAAGTTGAATGGGCCGAGATGCTGACGCTGTGCGAACTAACTGGTCTGCTGAAAGAGGTAAGGATTGCAAGAGAGAATGATGCTGAAGATCAGCTGTCCCGGCAGAATGAGTCTAGGAACGCCCTGCCTTGGGATCTCTCTCTTTTTTTCCGCCGATAGAAGATGTGGTCGGATGAATTCGCAAGAAAAAAACAAAAAACCAAGCTGCCTTGGGTTGTCAGCAAAGGTCCGGTGCTCCCTGCGAATCGGGTTGTCGCGCGTGCTAGAATTGATGGATTGACTGTGAAGTGGTGTAGTCTGTAGATGGTAAAGTACAGGCTAAATAACTCTAGTGGAAACGCCGCCAACCTGCCATTGACAATGAGGGCAGCTGCGCCTCGGGAATTTGGGCAGGATAATGTGTCCGAGACCGGAAATGCCCAATGAACCTTGGAAAAATAAATGAAGAGGTCGTCGTAGCTGCCAAATACGAAGCTGATCAAGCACCTCAAATAGGCTGAAAGAAAGACAACGAACGGTACGTGCACCTAATACCCGTCTACCTCACCTTTTGGATTACCCCACTCAAGTTTTGTCTGTCAGGTAATTTTGACGTGTCCTCGCCAACAGCTTGTTTTCTCCGGCGAGTAGCAATGATGGCAAGCAATGGTACCAACGAAACCAGGTGCACCCTCAATTACATATCGGCACGTGTTTGTTGTTTGATTATTCCAGGTATTAGGAATACTTGAACTTTGGCTTCTTTCACACAGAATGGTCTCAAATATTGGTCACAAATGCTGGTGAACAGATCCAGGGGTACGATGATGACATTCTAGAACAGAGAATTTACGCCAGCACACTCGACGCGGGCAGCCGCCTAAGACATCATCACTCCTTCTCAAATTACCAGCAACGTCTTGTGAAAGTTAAGGCGCTTCCTTGTGCGCAGCCGGACACGTAGTGTTACCTTCTTATATATGTACAGAAGCACAGAGTGAGCGAAAACCAACCCTTGGTAAAAGTTTACCTACCCCCCGGGTTACTACCTGAATACACATCCGCGATCTTTCATGCTTACACCCCCTTACTATGCTTGTTGTCTATCCAACAACACATCGAGGCCTGTGGGCGCGTGAGTGCGTAAATGTGTGTCTGTGTGTCCGTGGTGTGGTAAATGAGCAACAACCGCACACATCTTCCTTGCGTCAACCGTCATATCCCTTTTCAAGCAATCTTGCCATCATTTTTGGCCTCTGTTCACGTAGTGTCAGCACTGTTGCCTCAGAACGGCTGGCTCAACATAGTGCTTACCCTTCACTTGCTCAAAGACCTTGAGCATCTTCCGCCTAGCTCCGAGGGCGTTAACTCCACGATCCTCCAAAGCCTTGTCGTCGAGCTCGATCAACTCATGCCACTTCATGTCTTTGAGATTTTCAGTGTACTTGTGCAACCGCAGGCTTCTCAGCCAGCTAGGGATATCCTGGAGAAGGGTTGGGTCTGTCGGGTCTTCAGGCGGCTTTGAGCTACCTCTGCGGCCCCGGGGAGATCGGCCACGGACCATGTCGGAGTGGTCTGAAAGGTATCCTTCGTGGTTCCCTACACCTAACTGGCCCACATTGACTGAAGGAATGCCATTGTTGAGAAGAGGAGAGGCGCCATCATAGGCGCTGAGGAAACCGTTGTTTTGCGGAGAAGCGAAAGCCATGGGACCGAAGCCACCAGGCTGCATGGCAATGCCTGGCGAGCTGGGTCGAGATCGATGTTGGCCGAAGCCCATGTTTTGTGCCTGCAAAGCAATCATCTGCTCGCGACTAAGCACCTGGCCATGCTCGTTGATCATGACCACGTTGGTGTTGGGCATATGCCCAGTCTGAGGCAGACTCTGCTGGCCTGGAGCGCCTGGGGCATCGTTGGATCGGGCACGGCGATATTTGCGAACATCATCGAGAGCGAAGCGGTTGTTGACTGTCGACAAAGCTGCTAGTTTCATCGCGGTGGCATTTGCAACCATGTCAGCCTGCGTGCCGCTGGTATTGGCGTTGAAATTCGCAACGAGCGGAGTATTGACCATCGACGCCCAGTTGCCTCCGCTCGGGTTGTACGGGGACAAGAGAGGAAGGTCTGCCGGCTTGTCATTGGTCGTCAAAGTGGTGTTTTGAATGTTTTGGTTGCCCGAGATCTGGGGCGGGCGAGGAGATCTTAAACCACTCGAAGGGGGCGGCTGGACAAACTGGCCCATTGGGGGTTGACCACCAGGGGCTTTGGATCCCTGATCGCCTCCAGTCCACTGGTTTTGGCCATTGGAGTCGTGGTTGTCGGCAGGGCCCGCGATTGTCGGGGCAGCCATGGACTGACGAGAGTCACCTACAGCGCTGTTGCGGTTGGACGAGGGAGGGTTGCCAGTCTGCTGGGTGAACTTGGCCTTCTCCGTCGCAATGGCTGCGGCGGCGTCAGGAAACATTGCATTGATGGTGGAGGGGTCGAGTCCCGATTGCCGTTTGCCGGCCGCAGTGCTCGAGGGGCGGGCGAGCGAGTTCCTGGATGAATCGACATTCAGCTTGTTCATGGCGTCGCTCAGGCGGTTTGACATTGGGTCTGGGATAGACGCGTTAGCTGACAGCCAGCAGGATGGCAAGAAGTGTGTCACGAGGCTCACCTTTGTCAAAGTTGGCTGGGGACAAGACGCCCGACATGGGGTGGCTCTTGCCCATTTGCTGTAGAACCTGAATGAAGAATCGAATCTGAACCTGGGTGGTCTGCTGCAGCAAGGCGTACAGAGCAGCAGTGCGCTCGGCCTCGCTGAGGACCCTGAACCACTGCTCAATGGCACTCAGTTCATCCTTGAAGTCCTGGTCGAGAGTGGCAGCGGCCATTTCTTCTAAAGTCGTCTCATACTGATCGATATCGGCAATCCATTGTTGCGCGATCTTGTCTTGGGGATCGGTATCGGGGTTACTATGGCCTTGGCCCTGCTGAGAGCCGTAGAAGTCGGATGACGGACGGATCCGGCTTGAGGGAGATGCGTTGGAGAGCGCAGCCATGTCGGCAGAAGCCCGAAGGTGGCTGTTGGCTCCCATAACTCTCGAGGAGGGGGGGCGAAGAGACGGGTTCGTGTTGGCCTCCGGGGTGCTATTGCGGTTTCCCGCAATGTGACTGCCAGACATATTGAGCATTGTCGACAGACAGCGCAATTATAGCGAGGCAGGAATCGCGCTGGTAACGGCGGCGAAGTTGATGTCGTGAAGACGGTAGAAAACTGGCAGGTGGCAGATGAAACGATGCCGGCGACCAGTGAAGGGTGTCGTGTCTTTGTGTAGTGATGGAAGGGGGGTCGGCCCGGGCAAGGAGGGACCAGCGCTGTTTCGAGATTTCGACTGACGGTAACGTCAATCGAATCAGCAGGCAAACAAGCCTAACCTCTCTGAATCTGTGACTTGAGTCGAGAGTGGGAGGGATGGACAGAAGCTGTCGGTGCAAATCCAAGTTGGCGATCACAGTCGCTTGTCAAGCAGTCCAAAGGGTCCTATTGACTTGGTTTGTTCAAGTGAAGACAAAAGCCCTGAACGGCCTGTTCTTTTTTCGTGTCTTTGGCTGCGGCAGAGCTCAGACGGCGCAAGTAAGGTAATGAATCGTAGGGTACGTATTCGCTGCCCAAAGCTCCTGCAGAAACCTGCTGACCTCAAAGGAGTCGGGGATTAAGTCTAATGAGGACCTGCTGCTTAACACATGTCTCTCCGAATGGATGACAGGGTCTGGTTACCGGGCCAGGATTTCGGGTTCTGGTCGAACGAGTAGAGAGAAGGGTCGAAAGAGACAGTGGCCGGTGGCGCAAGCCGGAGTTGCTGGTATGGAGTTGAGGCGAATGGCGGCGTGCTTTGTTCTGCTTTTTGTGTGTACTACCGCAGCGAGGAACGTGGACAGCGACAACAGCGGAGGCGGAAGAGATTGGGGGTGAAGGCGGAGTGACGGAGGTGATGCACTTCTGGCAAGCGGGCAGAAATTATTCAACAAATGCTGCTTCCAGGCAGGTAATACGATATTCAAGGCTGGCGTCGTCTGAAAGTATTACCCAGATGTAGGGGGTGGTAGGAACAAAAGGGGAACGGAACTCGCTTCTCGAATTTGCAGGAGACGTACTCATTCATGTACTACTGCACTGCGGCTGGCGAGCGGGAGAGGAGGGAAAGAAGGGTTCAGCAACGTGGCGTGGTCGCTGCTTAGTCACTAGTTTGCCGTAGTTTGTCCTCCCTAACCTTACTATGTACTCCGTGGCACCTCAGGTAAAGTGCCTCACACCTGTACTCTGTAAAGTCAGTACCTTCCTCAAGGTACCTTAGGTACCTTAGGTGCCTCATATCTAGGAGGTATCCCAGGTAGGAGGTACCTACCTGAGTCCGACAAAGGTCAACACGCAAGTATAAGAGGCATGGGAAGCTCCGGTCCATTACGAAGTGTAGGCAACACACGTCTTTGCTAAGCTCTTACCACTGGTTCTCGATGAAGGCATACCTAATACCCATCAGCCAGGCAATTGCTAGTTGCGGCTTGTTGACCCCATTAGTTCTACGTCTCTCGGACATGAAGGCATAAATAGCGGGTATTCCCAACTTCAACCTCAGATCCTTTCAGAGAGCTACGCGTCTCGCTCCGGGCCCCCGCCCTCTCTCTCACACTCCCCAACCCCATTCACTTGCCTGGGTCTTGATGCAAAAAAAGACAAGAGGGAACGGCCTAACAAAGATGCCGACCCATCAAGTAAATGTCACTGTTTCTATATATAGGGGCCTCATTCAATGGAGTTCGTGGAACGCCTCACTGGTCGGAGGGTAGACGCCAACTAGCATTGAGTCTTTGAGGTTCATTTTGAGGTTGTCAGTACGCGACAATGCCCTTGGCGACAAACGCCGCTCTTCCTTTACCGGTGACCCGTTAAATGGTATTGCGAATACTCACTTACTGAGCTGCAACTTGACAACGGAGGCAACTCATCCATGTTGAGCATTTCCGGCCCACAAGCTTGGTGCTAGCAGAAGTACCGCAGTCAAGGTGACAAACATGGTGCAATGTCACCGCATTTCAATGTCACGACTTGATGGACTGGGCCTTTCCGAAGTTTGCTGGGAGACTATCGTACCGCAGCAAGACGGGTTTGTGGGGGCCTACGACCGTAGTATCGCACTCGATACCATACACAGGCACATAGAACCGCCATGGGACTGTGGAGGTCTGGTGTTATCCGTTAATCAGTGGCCAAACTCGACGTTGGGCAACTGTAGGAGGCTGGCGCAGTATTTTCATCTACCTTGTAAAGATCCTCCAACTAGCCTGATATCGCACATCAGAGTTCACCCAGTGGGACATGGCTGATGGACGCAGAGTAGAGCCTCGCTGCATCCATCATCCCGTTGCCAAGACCCTGGCAGGGTCGTCTTTTTCTCTTGTCGGGCGTCTTCGTGTGGACCTCAAAGCGACATGTGCCCGACTTTCGTGGCTTGGCAGTGATTCCGAGAGGGTTAAACCGTGGTTGATTCGTTTGCTGGCTCTTTCAACCTAATTGCCAGTTCCATTTGATTCCCTAGTGCCCCAATGCATCGCAGCCGTGCTGTATAAGAGACCAATAACCATGCGTCCAATTTCTCGTTTATGCCGTCTCGCGCTTGCCCTCCTTCAGCTCCTTCTGTAAGATTTGTCAGCAACTGTTGTGAATGTAATCGGCGTAGTGGGATTTCGCGGGTGGTGTTCTTCGGAGGGTTCGTACCAGGGCCTTCATGGTGCCGTGCAGAGCGTGACGATGGTTACGGCGGAACTTGGGGTCGGTACCCTTAAGGGAGGGGTATCTCGACGTCTTGGGCTTCTTGATACTACATGAGAGAAAGGAAAAATCCGTCAGCAAAAGCACATCTCGAGGATTCATGGGCATGTAAATATCTGAATCGTACCCGTTGCGGTGCGCCTTGCGCGACTGGTTGTGCTGCGAGGAGTTCTTTGACTCTGCCCTCAAAATTAGCTGAGCTCATCCGGAGCGAGCGACGAGGCTCGTAGAATCGGGTTGTCATGACATACTGGCCATTGCTGCGGTCGGAAGGTGCCCCTGACGTTGAATACTAAAACCTGGAGTTCGTGATGCGGTCAGGGAAATTTCGAGTATTGAGATATCGAGGCTGGCCGTGGGGTGGTTTGGTGCATGCTAGGCTCTGCGGTGTTGTGGGTCGAAATTCTGTGCCCTAATGGACTTGCTGAGCCACGGTGTGGCTGAACCGAATCGCGCCACTGCCTTACCTGAGGTAAGGTAGGTAGACACAGTGATTGGAGCACAGTGTGCCGAGCTCTTAAATCCATACTTTACCTCGGATTACCTATCACTGCATGAATGGCGGCGTGTCTTGACTGGCACACTGACAAGACTGCAAGAAGGGCTCACCTAACCCAGACAGCTACTTACCTTCCATCGGTTGGAATGTTACATTTCTCTTTCGGGTTGCCATCATGGAAAGTCAAGCATAGGTAGGTATTGCGAATTGTTTCTGATTCGCACAATACGATAATTCCCAAGACTTTCGTGACACAGAGGTATGTATTTCCAAGACATCCTTGTAAGATCAAATATGATGAACTGAAGTATAGTTTACTCTATCCTAGCTCTCTCAGATTGTCGATTGCCATCTCTCTTGCGCCAACCTCATGTAGTGCCCATGCAGTGCTCTCGTGTTCTACGCTTGTTACGATACAGATAAGTCCACATCTTTGCCCACGACTCTGTCTACTCCCTATCAGAGATTATCTCACTTCGCTATACACGATGTCGAAAGGTTCACCGCCCTTGGCTTCTTCACGACGTTGTTTAGCCAAATGTACGCATTTTGCCGCTCTTCTCTCAAAGAGGTTTGATGGCAGACGCGCTACGAATAACATCGGGGCTCCGTGCAAAGGCCTGCAGCCGCTTCGACCTCAGCGTCCTGAGGTAGCGGAAGAAGAGGACAAACAATAACTCCATGCTATTCCTGGATTAGCACTCTTACGATATTTCAGGCTGCATGGTACCGTGCTTACCGTTCCTTTGTCATCATGAGGATGCCCTGGACAAGAAGACCCTTAAGAATCTGTGGTCCCATGCCCTTGAATAGACCAGAAACGCCCTCTCGCTCCAAAATGAAGTTCATGACTTCGATGAAGCTGCCGAAAGGCTTGCCCTTCCTTTCAGGCGGTGGTCTCGACTGCAAACCTACCTTTGCTACAATCAGGGGTTGTGTGGCAATCGTTGCAAGTGACTTGGAGATAGCACCGAGAACTAAATGAAATTCAGTCAGAGCCGGCCAGTGAGGATTGTAGAGACAGGGAGGGTTCAACAACGTACGGAATGCTTCCCAGGGCTTGAGGTTATTCTTGCCAGGAAAGATGACTTCCTTTAGCCTCTCGTAAGCTCCGTAAGTGATTGCAGGATTCACAACGAGCACCAAGCTAGCCTTGAGACCCCTCCAGAGCCCAAATGGCCCATCCTCTCCATTGATGACTTCCCGCGCAGTGTCGACAAAGCCTTTCCTCTCGGTCTTGCGCTGGGTTTGTTGCCTCGTCGTGATGACGGCGACGGGAATTGTACAGAGCTGGGCTACAGCGCCAGCGATTGCGCCGAGACTCAGCTCGATGAGTGTCGAAGGTGGTGCCGAAGTCTTGGCAGAACGAAGATAGAGGGCGCGCACAACGGAGTACCAGTAGAAGTATGCAAAGTTGGTAGACGCGACGCCGAGAAGAGAGCCACTCATACCGGCATAAAGACCCTTGGCACCATCCTCAGCAACAATCTTGCTCAGAGCATCCCAGGTAGACGAATAATGGGGTTCGACGGGATCGGAGGGGTCAGTCGCTACTGCGCCGGGTTGCGACTTGACTTGGACCTGGAGGCGCGTCTTGACGCTTGATCAAGGAGAGGTTAGCCAAACTCGAATACCATGGAAGAACACGACAGGAAAGAATGGATTTCGAGGCAATGGGGAAGACAAGTTTGTGGGCGTGTTGGTATCGCGGCAGCATCGTTTCTCTCACATGTCAAGCGGGTAGACTAAAGCATTGGCAAGCACGGCACCGGAAGCGCCAGCAACTGCCTTGCCCCAGGGGGAGATGGAGGCCGATTTCGACTGGGCAGCCATTGTATTGTTGCCGTGTTTAGATTGAAGAAAGCAATGAGCTGGCACACAGATCAGAGTTCTCTTCGAGGCGTTTGGTTGAATAATCGGGTCACGAGTAGGGAACTGTCGCCCACAATGTCGGTAACGGTGACGGTATCGGCGTTGTCGTCGGCGTTGGGGTTCTGCACCGATCAAGATCCGAGGCAAAGGGCGGGACGGGAAGTGGTCAGGGTAGGGAGGCGGCAACGAACGAGCAGCAATAACCAGCAACTACTAGAAGAATGCGCGAGCGCGAGCGAGAGGTGGGCGAAGATGTTACTGACGGCGAAGACATATATGGTTTACTGTGCGTTGGTCGGGACGAAGGGTCCAAACTGAGAAGGCCGCCCATGGGGACTGACGTACCGGCCACTGCGCCTGCGCGGGTGCCGGGAGTGACACTTGAGTCGACGACCTCGGCCCTTGGAGATGACGCTAGAGGCCTGGGCCGCCATATGCTCGGTTAACCGGTGAGGTCACCCTGGTGGGGTTTCGGCACAACAGATGCTTAGGTAATGCATCGCAGCGACTGACCAGCGCGCTAGGTACGGTAAGGTGTTAGTTACCCTTTAGAAGGTTTTCTTTTCTGGCACGAGCCGGTACTGGCGCATCATGTGTTCGAAAATGCTTGGGGAGTATCATGGATGCGAAGCAGGATAACGGCTCCGTACTAATAAGGTAGGCAGCATTCGTACAAATATGTGGCTGGCTCTGAATAATCGGCGCCAGAGACATTTGATTAGCCAGACTTGGGCATGCGAGAGCGGAGCAGCGAGGGGGACAGACTTAGCGGTCCTGGCCCGGGCCCGTGGGTGATAAGAGAGACAGGTTGGTGATGGCCCAGGGCCGAGGTGACAGTGTCAGTCTGGCTTCAAGTGTTTCATTTGGTCAACACATCCAGGTAAGGAGCGCTGTCCACTGGCATACACCACAAACGGCACCTAGTTTGGCCCATGGTGTTTATCATATTGCGGAAGAGGCCCATCCTCTCTCAGTAGAACTTAACTTAGATTAATCCACCAAGAGTTGGAATGAGAAAGGCAATTCGAAATCTGGCGGAATAGCGCCCTATCGTAATCTCCAAATTGATGTCCACCGTGGTTTGTGCTTCATGTGCGGATACTCGTGTAAGTCCTCGTCAGTTTCCGAGCGGCATCCACAGTAGCGTGAGTAGGTATTAAGGCAGGAAGAGAAAGAGGAAGAGGAGGGCGCCCCGTATCTTACCTAAGATACCTAGGGTGAGGTAAGGTAAGCTCTAATCATAAGGTATTAGTAGTCTACTCCGTATGTTCGGGCAAAGAAAGCCAAGAGCCTATTTGTACAGATGCACAGGTTTCTCTATAAAATTGGAAGGTAGGTATTGTATTACTTAGCCCATCCCTCCTACTGTCCTCGTCCAACTGCAACAGGTGAATGGAAGCTACCTTCCCGTTCATTGTTCATTCCACCCCTCTAGCGCCTGTTAAGATACCTTACCTCGAACCCGCCTTCTTTCCTACGATATCAAGCAGGCCACATCTTGCCCGTCAATCCGCATTCTGGTAAACCAAGGTAACATAAGGTAGGTAGGTAATCGTACGAAGAGTCCTTAGGCTCTTTGAAGTTCGCATTGCCCTTCAACGTTTCTAACGTTTCCGTCGCACCCATTTGGCAAGCTTAGGTCGGTGTTGGCCAGTGGGTGGGGCACATAACAGTAGACGCTTCTGATTCTTTTCCCAGCGTTTGCTTCGCTCGCTCTGGCGCCTGGCTTGCTTAACCCGACTCGAGCTGGTTTGGTGAGTGAACTGAACGGATCTCTCCTACGCTACTGCAGTCCGATCACGTCTCCTAAAACTAGCTATCTGGCTCGTTCCGGTCTTGGTATTGAGAGCAATTAGGCCTCGTTTCAACATATTTACCTGGCCGGCCCTTGGCCACCCGACTCTGGACCGTTTTTGGGTTTTGCTTTGCACAGCCTCAATCTGGTGCCCGCTCTCTGTCGTCTCACCCCACGACGAATGCATTTCACGCTAAGACTGCGACGCCTTCCCCGCGCCCATTTCCACTCATAAATGCTCTCGCCGTTGATAACGACGACATCGCGTTGGATCTAAAATCATAATCAGATTCAGGCCCAAGGTCACGAGGAAGTTGGTAGAAACTGTAATAAAACAGTAGTCAGCCAGAGACATACAAAGGCCAGCCCTTCTACCCAACCCGCTCTCGCTGCACTCACTTCTTCGAATCTCGACTTGTTTCCCGCCGTGTCGGGTCTCGACGCATCGATTGCCTTACCTTACTCGTGACCTCGACATGCGACTTGAATAAGTCCTTGTTCTAGCCGCTTGTGTAGGAATTCGGTTTTCCTTGTTCGATTGCTGCTGCGCAATCGGCATTATCGCCTTGTCTTGACATTGACGGCTGGATGCAGTTCCAGTAAGCTGCTCATTAGCGGGAAGTATGGAAGCCAAAGCCATCGTGAGTGAGTTCCCAGGTTACGGCGCGACGCACCTCAGAGACTTGCTTCAGCTGACCAGTGTTGCCTCGGTATCTAGAGAGAAGAGGCCCTTGTGGCTAGATCGACGGGGCGTGAAGCTTTGAATCATGCCATTGCCGCGGCCGACTTATACATGAAGGCAGCACACGAAGCTACCTCACCAGCCGACCGCTCTCGTTTCAGGAAAAAGTGCGCAGGTCTCATTTCTCTCGCCGAAAAGCTCAAGTCGTCGCCCAAGACCGCATCTTCGTCTCTGACTCAGACGACAGCTGCGACCATCACCTCTGCGTTCAATCCTAGCTGCCATGTGCGCCATGTACCCTCTAACGAGAGGACCATTCTTCTGCGCTCATCTCGACTACATGGCAACATTTTCCCGCCCTGGCAGGCTGAGCCTAATGATGACAACTTCTCCCTATCTCAGGGCCAAAATGTTTTCTCGTACGTTCGCATAACCGCCACACCGACCAGTCAACTTATACATGAACCAGAGACCCTGCAGGATACACAATGTCGGCCAGACAGGAGTCCATTCTCGAAGCCTGGCAACGCCCCGTGGACCAAGCGAGAGAAGATACCATAGACGAGGACTTCATGCATTCAGAAAGCGACTGTGATCTCGTACAGGATGTCACGACTGATTGCTCAGTTGTGGCCAGTCTATGCGCCGCCATGAAGATTCTCCAAGGTGGCAGACAATCGGTCAGTCAAGAGTGATACGCACAATACCGTTGATCACGCCCGCTTACCAGCCTCGTCAGATCCTCAGCTCTATCATGTATCCCTACAACCACCGAAAGGGGCGACCCATGATCTCCAAGAGTGGCAAGTACATATTTCGCATGCACTTTAACGGCTGCTTCAGACAAGTCGTCGTGGATGATCGGTTGCCTGTCTCGCGGAACAATCGCACCTTGTTCGTTGTTGATCGCAAGAATCCCAATCTTCTGTGGCCAGCTTTGTTGGAGAAGGCTTATTTGAAGGTACGCGGAGGGTATGATTTTCCCGGCAGCAATTCGGGCACCGATTTATGGGTAATCACCGGTTGGATTCCCGAACAGCTGTTCTTGCAGAGGTATGTGGAAACTTGCATGTGAAACCTGGCTCAGGGGAAGACGACCAACTGCGAGAACTAATGCCAAGACGTAGCGAAGACGTAGACCTTGAGGGCGAATGGGACTTGATCAAGGAAGCATACCATGCCGGGAATTTGATCATGACTCTAGGAACCGGTCGTTTGACTCAGTCGGAAGAAGACGCCTTGGGTCTTGTCGGCGAGCACGACTATGCCGTGCTTGAGATCGACAGCTCGCCTGGCGCCCGTCGTTTACTTGTCAAGAACCCATGGTGTGATGGTCTCGTCTGGAAAGGCGTCGGTTCATCTGGAATAGTCGAGCAAACGGCCGCCGTATCGCTGTCAGACACACTGGTTTCGATCGAGCCAAGGTCCTCCGAGCATACCAGGCCCGTCGGGTCCTTCTGGATATCAGTGGAAGACGTTGCGCAGAACTTTGAGTCCATGTATCTCAACTGGAATCCGGATCTGTTTACACATAGGCAGGACCACCACTTCACGTGGCGCGTGCCTACCATAAACATGACGTCCTCTCTTGCCCACAATCCGCAATATTCAGTCCTGTCACATACGGGACAGACCGTGTGGATTCTGCTGAGTCGACACTTTGCGGACGAGGAACTGGAGATTGCGCGGAATAAGTCAGCCTCCTTATCAGCGGTCTCGAGACAACTTGGCTTCACAAGCATATTCATCTTCGAGAGCGAAGGCAAAAAGGTCCAGGTCAGGGAAGGCTTCGTCTACCAAGGCCCGTATGTCGACTCGCCACAAACGCTGGCCAAGTTCAAACTTCGCAGTGGAACGCCCTACACCATTGTCATGGCCCACCAAGACCTCCCGCTGGACCAATATTCGTGTACGTTTACTCTCTTCTCGAAAGCACCTCTCGAGGTCAAGCCGGCCGAGGAAGCCATGAGCCACTACCAAGAGCTTTCGAGTGCTTGGACTAGGAGAACTGCTGGAGGTAATGCGTCGTCCATCACCTACTCGCAAAATCCGCAGTTCAGCATCTCTATTCCCCGTGCCACGCCCCTCTCCATACTCCTCTCATCTGGAGACCGAGAGGTAGCCATTCACGTCGATCTGGTGTGGGCACACGGGAAAAGAGTCACATCGATTGGCGTCAAGGATGTTGTGGCCAGCTCTGGCGACTACCGTAGAGGCAACGCTCTTGTCCAAGTCCCTCTAGTGGAGCCTGGTACATATACTATTGTCTGCTCAACGTGGGAGCCGGGGCAGCTCGCCGACTTTGGCATGCGCGTAGGGTCTCAGGTGGAATGCCAAATCAAGCCCGTTTTGAGCGACAGGGCCGGTCTTTTACGAACTTTGGCGCCAGCCTTCATCTTTAACGAAGGAGAGGAGAACAGACGAGCCTTAGTCACGGTATCGCGGTTGTCCCGGGCCCAGGTCGTGGCACGGTGCCCGCTGCAGACTGGACGAAGTAGCCAATCCATTGCTACGACGGCCGTCCGCGTCTCCCTCGTCTACGGTCGAGGACCGCAGGAATCGGTACTCGCCATGTCCGGCGGCGGCGAATTCCGGGAACTGACCATGGCTATCCGGACACCTGAGTTCGACCTTGAGCCTGATCGTCTCCGACAAGACAAACTATGGCTCATTGTGGAACGGCTCGGCAGTCAGCAGGGTCGTCAGAGCATCGAGGTGGAGGTTTTGAGCGACAACCCGGTTCATGTTGGCGACTGGCAGATGACCGATTCATAGTGGTCATGGCACGGGTTGGAAACTAGACGAAGGCTTCGGCTCGTCGCCACAGGTGGAAGGCATAGTTGGAATGGCCCGATAGGTACCTAAGCCTTGCTCATAGAATTTACTACGGATCGGCAATGCCCCTTCCTCCCTCTTCTCCCCCGCCTCCAATTCTCCCCCGCCTCCAATTCTCCCCCGCCTCCAATTCTCCCTTTACCCATCTCTCTCGAGGCGATGAGTATAAAAGCAGACAAAATTGAAGGGCAAAAGCCACTTGCCAAGTAGATGCCCAAGTACCCAGAATGAGAAAAAAAAAAGGGATATTTCCGTGAATTACCGCTTGAACAGAAGGCGACCCCTACGTCGGCTCTTGTCAAAGACAGTTTGAGACTTTGCCTTCTTCTAGCCGGTCATCACCCATCATGAAAGAGAGAAGAGAAAAAGAGGAAGAGAATACCGCAAGAAAAAGGGACAAAACGTGACGTGACGCGAACGACTCGTCAATGTGGTATATGATCCACCGCAACGCCAGAAACCTTGCAAAAAGGCAGAAACAATCCCCCGTCATGAACTCGTGCCGTGCCATTTCAAACAAGCTCCAAAACAAGTACCAGCCCAAGACAGCCGCATCCTCCCAAGAAAAGCCAAAACCAAAGAAAGGCTGATGTCAACCACCTTCCCAACCTTCGCTCGCCTCCCCCTCTCGGAACAAAGGAAAGCGGGAAAGAAAAAGAATCGAGAACGACAGTGATATTCGAAGAATCACTCCGAATATCCTTCGACTATGTACAAAAAACCTCGTCCCTTGTGCTTGTACCAGCATATCGACAAGAAGTGGTCGATGCCGAACAGGCCAGGAAACAGAAAAAGAAGAAAAAAAGTATCTACATGAAAAGTAGCTAGCCCTATCGCTCAGCTGGTTAGACAGGCCCTCCTCTGCGCCTTCGGCCACGATTTGGCCCATCTGGTCTCTGTGCCAGCACATCTCGCAAAGCAGGGTCGTCCTTATCTTTGTCCACATGATGTACCCGAACATGTCTGCATAATCGATTAGTTGGATCCCCGGAAGAAACTGATTGCCTGACAGCTGCGCCGAGTTTGTGAGGAGGTTGTGTTGGTTAGGATGTGTGACAGTCGTGGGGGATTATCTTACCTCTGAAGATTATCTGGCCGAGGATACTTGTGCTCTCGATCAGGACAAAAAGGGCATACATATCCCGGAGATTCATGCACAAGCCCGTGCCTGATCATCTCATTTTTTCTCTTGAATCCCTTGCCACCTTCACTACGAGGGCAGCCTTTGACGGAGCAGTAGTGTGGTCGAGCAGATGAGTGTACGTTCGCGTGCGAGTTGAGTAAGTACTGTGTCTGGAATGGTGCCGCAGTGCAACCCGAGAAGTTGCAGATATAACCTGCCTGAGGATTTGTAAGACCATCGATACTCATGCGATCTGCCACGGAGGTGGCGGGCGTTGACGCGGTCTGATCAGTGCTTGGGGTTTCTGCCGTACTGCTACTATAGTCGGTACTCTGTCGGTGATGGCCACCGGTCGATGAAGACGGGTAGTAGTAAGGACTGACAACGGCCATGGGGTGCGCGGGCGACGGGTGCTCTCTACGAAAGCCTTCATTGGGTGAGATCGGAGGTGATGCATGGCCCATTGGCAGTCCGGCTGGGAGTCCGGCTAGTGAGGGCAGTCTGGGCATATTGGTAGGTGACGACCTGGGATATGAAGCAGCGTGTCGCGCAGAACCCATATCATGCTCAGGACTTCTGGCAGTATCTGCCAGGCGCTGCAAGTCCCCAAGCTGTGATCTGATAGATGGTAACGGACCATGACCGCTGCCATCAGACTTTGGGGAGTCCAGAAGTGGAGGAAGACCACTGGGAGCAGACTGTGGAGGGCTCATCGGGGACGTGACCTCGGCCTGGCAAAGACTAGGTGCGGAACGATGAGAAGTGTACTTGTCCCCGGCAGAGTAAAGGACGGCCGGGGAAGCTAAGCCTAGACTTGGCCGATCATCGCGAATTGGCAACACCCGACTACTGGCCCCCAAAGGCAAGGCCTCATGTTGAGCCCGGGACCTCTCTCCTGAGCGTGATTGATCGATTTTGAGTGTCCCGACAGCGGGATTGGTGACTGGGACAGAGGATTCGGGAGCGCCAGGTGAAGTGAAAGCCAAGGCGCCGGCAGCGAGGATTTTGAGATCGAAAGGTTCCGCCGATTTATTCATGTCGCGCTCAGGAGAGGTTGGAGAAGACGACTCAGATTCGGATCCGTTGTCAGAGGCCAGGGGTTCAAGAGCAGCGGCCTGGGCGACGTCTGGCGCTCTGCCGGATCCGAGGTGAGCCACTAACACAGCATCGCCTTGGATGGGCTCGACCTTGTGACGACCGCGGAACGACTTTCGGCTAGGACTGAGAGCAGGCGGAGGACTGGGTGAGGGCTGAAGTCTGGGGCGGTGAGCTTGCATTTGTGGGCTATCGTGAGGAAGGACGTCATCGGGGTCGTAACAGTCGCTCGCAGCTGTGTGGTGCAGATGGCTTTGAACAGCCGACGCAGTCATAGTTGTCGCTACCGGAGAGTGTCGTGGCTCACAGCGCAAGCAATATCAAGCCGCCATGGGGCAAGTTGAAGGGTACGGGTCGTAGCAACGACGGGTGACTTGCGACAAAGACGGCCGCAATGGTTGCAGTAACACTGACGGCAGCAGCGGCGAAGAAGGGTCGACTTTGGCGAGAGCGGCAAGAAAAAAGATGATTGTCGCGATGCGCCACGAGGTCTCGGTAGATTGCGCTTCTATGGTCCCTGTTTGCGCAAGGCGGTAGCTGTTGGGGCCGAGGGGAGCGACGAAGACAGCGTCGCTACGAGGATGATGAGATCGGAAAGTAATAGAGGTGGAAATGCGCGTCGCGAGAAGTCGGCCCCGAGACAGCTATCGCCGCCGTCGTGGACTCCGAAAGAAAGCAGCCGATGAGGGAGTCGAGAAGGTAATACCTCTCTATGCAGGTGTAGGTTGGAGGACTTGGAGGGAGAGCGGACTGGAAGATGGAGGGCGGCCGGGAGTTGGAGGATAGGATGCGGCGACGTTTGGATGTCAAAGACGGAGGTCGGTGTGGCCTCGAGCAGGGGGTGTGGGGGAGAATGAGGAGCAAGCGCGGGAGTAAGTCGGGTGCGTGATTCTTTGACGGATAAAAGAGGGCGCCCAGGGACGACAACCATGCAGATGGATGCACCAGGCCGAGCGAGGGTAAGCAATAGTAAGAATGGAAGTCGAGTGAGCGGCAGCGGCAGCGGCAGCGGTAGCGGTAGGGGAAGCGGTAGGACGGATGGGTTGGTCGATATCCAGGTCCGTCGTCGGACGGGGTATCTATCGGTGAGGTAAGGTCAGGAATCCGTACCTAGGTGAGAGCTGTTGGGCGAGGTAAGGTACAGACGGACAGGCTCGTCTATCTTAGACAACAAGGTAAGAGATGAAGCATCAAAGAGATTGAAGGGAGCGACAACAGTACTTCAGATACAAACAGGAGCGAGTTGTTCATGTTGCAAGAAGGACTACGGCAGGTAGGTATTCGGTTCTTGCTTCTCCAAGGTATTCAGCGGGAGGGAAGCTACTGCCCTTTGCTGTTAGCGCATAATTTCTTGGAAGCGTATGAGAGATTCGCCCAGTGCCACAGATAGATTCAAGGGACCGCGTGACCCTAGCGATGAGCAAAAGCGGATTTTGGGGGGAGGGGAACGTAGAGGCGAGCGAGATGAAGAAGCCGAGTCACCAAGAAAGTGGACATGGGATGGACGGAAGCGCGCATAGGGGATTGGGGGCACACGGCACACCTTCAGATGGCGAGACGGGGTAAGGCAGGTATCGACCTAGGTATCCATAGTGTACGGATACTTAGCATCTCATGGTACTCCGTAATGTGCACGAAATAGGGAAAGGATACCTTGGAATATGAGGCTAAGTAAAGGTCATAGGTCGAGGTACCTTACCTGGCTTCACAAAGTACAGATACCTACAGACAGGTAGTGAGGAACAGAGTACCTCTAGATATCTCGGTGGCAGTACGCAGTAAATGTAAGTCTACGTATCTTTCCCCCTTTCTCAGCCGCCCTCTCTGCCCCCCTCGGCGCTCCTGCCCAATCTCTGTCTCTTTCTTTCTCTCTTTCTCCTTCTAATCCATCCTGTCATTGGTACTCCATAACCCTCCCTGGATTCCTACCCGTTGCGCCTCACTTTTAGGCTTGGGAAACCACGTTTGGTAGGTACAAGGCGAGGCGCCGCTTCTGAGAGACCAGCCATAGAAATGGATGGCCAAGCTGGAAGGGTCGCGCTGCTAAGCCAGCAGGGCAATGCTGCTATTAGCATTCACTGGGTGGGCTATAGATTGGTAGGCTGAAGAGCAAGAATGCCTCATGCGATGGGACGTGCAAGAGCAATTTGCTGTGCCTCTACTCCGTATAACAAGGAGTATTACATCGATGTTGAGTGGAGGGACACTGACTCCTGAGCCTTGTTCAACAGGGGTAGCAATGTGCCAAGTCAGGTATATTTCCGTCTCACTCCTGCGCCCTCGACGTGGGCATCTTCTCGAGGTTTTAATCAGAGAATTGTCTCAGCGTTGACTGGACGCCGACGGCTTTCTTCATGGTTCTGATGTGCTACCTAGGTAGACGGGCTTATCTCGGCAAGGAATGAACCCAGGGTTGATTCAGCGCCGAGCTAAGAGGTTACCAAGAACCTGGAGCAGCAGTTTTCGCACAAACTGACAAAGCCGGGCATGCAATGCTTTATTTGTGTCTAGCGCGGGGACAAGATAGAAGGCGGGGAAAGAGAGAGAGAGAGAGAGAGAGAGAGAGAGAGAGTTTGGTCTGATCAAGTGACATCGTGACAGGCAGCCGAGAGAACTGGTTTCCATGTTACGCTTGTCAGATTGTTCCCCAGCATCGATGGACACTCGCGCACTCATGGTACTTGTGGGCCCAAGGATGAGAATACCGCGGCGGGAACCCTAGACGGCGATTGGGGAAGCTCCATCGGGAGTGGACTTGTAAAGTATATGTGTACGGAGTATAAGTAGGATGGGCAGTAGAGGTACTTCTTGTTGAATAGGGGTCAAGATGGGATGGAACAGTCTGGGGGATCGGATGGCAGTATTGTCACAAAGGGAAAAACTTGGAGTAGGGGAGGGGAGGGCCACTATTCGATGTTCTAGGTAGTCATGTCTAGTAATGACACCGGATAAGGAATTTCCCACAGCAAGAAAGTGCTTCCTACTGTACGTTGAGAGAAGCCTCATTCTATTTTGTTTTTTCTTCGGGAAATTGGGAAGACACGCAGGCAGTCATTCCTCTGTCATGTTTTTCTCATCCTTGGCTCTGAGCAATGCACAGTCGCGGAAAGACGGCACCTCAAGTCCATGATCCACTGGAAAACAGCATCATGCGCAAGGGCGAGAAGGAAGGAAACGGCACCATTGTGTAAGGTGTACTAGTGTAGAAAGCCGGTGGCTGGTGGGCGAGCACAAGATGGATCGTGGAGGAAATGAGGGCTGACAATGACCGGGGTTACCACAAGGTACACGGGAGGTACGTTAGGTTCACTAGGTTCAGCACCAGAGCATTCTACACCTCATGGTGCGTGGAGTGGAGTTTTCGCATAGAGTAAGGTACTCTAAGGAGTAGAGGCACTTTGATCACTGAGCCTTGAGGTCTACCGATAGTATCTCACAAGTCCGCGACAACTTGTATTCGTACTCCGTACACTAACAGGAGGTATTTCATTTTCAAGCGTGTCAATTAGCCGCACCCAATGCAGTGGATGGACGAACGGGACGGAAGTGGAGGCTCAATCCGAGACATGGGGGCCATGTCCCTGATCATGACAACTTACTGGCCGTCAGCGGGCCAGACCCAAGCTGGAACTTGGAAGCCCTACCTACTTCCACTCAGAATCACTTCACGAGTCACCACACCTGACGATCCCCCGACCACCCAGCTTTCCAGATTCTTCTCTTTTGCGATAGGTATTCCGTTCTCCGGCAATGTTTCCGTCAATGAGCCTTTCCAGACTGCTTTGTAACAGTACTATGGAAACTTAACCTCTACTTGATATGATGAAGAACTTTGAACGGAAATGAAAAGATTTGGATGAAGAATGCGTGGTGTGTGTGTGTGTGTGTGTATGTGTGTGTCCAAGTAAACAAACACTTCCAATTGACCAAAACACCAAATCATCCGCCGAGCCACCCTGCGCCTTAGCCTCGCTCGCACCTTACCGTAATCGCTGCATCTATCTGCTGGTTCGAACTCTGTCTGGCAACCCTAGGCATGCGTGTTTTTTCCTCTCCCTCTTTGAGTGTCTTTCGTGCCTACCTTACTGCAGATTGGCAGGTGCAGACCAAGATGCCGGGCTGGTGGGCAACTATTCGGACGGACACCTCATGGCATCGTTCGTTATTACCCCACACTCGATGAAGTGTGCTCCTCTCCCAGTCCAACATTTTAACCCCTCACCCAAACTTCCATGGACGACCTGCCACTCGCTGCATCAATCTAGGCGGTACCCGCCATCCCCTCCTCCCTTCTGTCCAATCGTGCAACAGGACAGCAAAGAGCCCCCCTGCCGTACCATCAATGCCCGCGATTTGATCCATGCGTCCAAGCCTCTAAGCCTCAATCATCCATACATGCAATCGGGCTAGAGCGAGTTGGTTCCGCTGGTCTTATTGGCCAGGCTCAAGGCGGTCAAGCAAGGGGACCCTTCTTTTCGCTACTTCTCTTCTTTGCGGAGTAAAGTACCTATACTTTGTGCTTTAGTAACAAGAGAGGCTTCCATTGCCTATCAGGGAGTCGGGATGGGGAGCTAATCACCAGTCACAACATTCCACCCAACTCAGTGCCTACGGAGCAGGACACAGTTCGTAGATGCCAGAATTGCAACCAGCAAACGGCAACAGTCTGGCTCAGGACTGATAGCTCCTAAATCCCATCTGATGCCGGGTGTGATATCAAAAACCTCGGCTAGGTTATTTGCTTCCCTCCCTTCCTTATGCTAACCTACTTTAGCCAAGGAGCATAGCGCGGGGTACTTCAAAGGTAACGCGAGGGATTGTTCATCTATAGTCTCAACGGATACCATCACCACACCAGAAACCAACGAAAACGATGCAATTTGACTAAGCACTATGAGAACAGGGCCAGACTGACTGTCTGGCTCCATCCTATTGTCTTTTGCCGCCAAGACGGCGGCGTCCCAGGGCATTCTCTGTTCCCCGACCGGCGATAGGAGGGACTTTTGTCCCCTACCTTACCCGTCTTACCCCAGACGAGGGGGGTTCTTCAGCAAAGTGGTCCCCGGTTCTTGGACTGAGGTGGTGGCACGTACGAGCGGGGGATCTAGCTCAGGGTGGTAGGGCCACCACCCACAGACACTCACACACCTGGGTAGACAGAAAGCCAAGGTAGGTTTCTAGAAAGCGCCCAACCATTCCAGCCCTTTTCAAGGTTGTGAGCTGTCAGACAGTCTGTCAACTTACCACTTGGGTTATATTCGTAGGCCATGTGCACTATCAGGACTTTGTTGGAAGCCTCATTGGACACCAACCCAGATAAAAGATTCGGGACCTCTCCTGGCATGAATAATACCCCTGTATGTTTTACTCTCATTATGGTCCCTTGTGGTCCCGGGCACTTAAACTCGGAGCTACGGCTGGTCAACTTAGTTCTTACGCAGCGTGCTTTTATTGCCCGCCAAGTCAATCAACATGAGCTGCAGCCATCAACTCAACGCCCAGACAAGTTTGTCAAGCCTGCCTTCCATCTTGTCGCTCTTTGATAAAGAACAATCCGACGCATGAAGTTAAAGGTTAAGGTTAGACCACATATCGTAAGAACTGTATTCGTAAAGAGCAGACAGACCACCGCTCTACTTACCTCTACCCTGCCATCCGCGCTTGTCATTCCTATCTGCCGATTCCCAGTCAAGTTCTAATTCGGAACCGTACCCAGAATATGCCATGCCGGTCTTCCATTGCCATTCCCCAGGTACACTACGACAACCGCTGCCGTAAAAGACGATTCCTTCATCGTGTACTTGCACGTCTAGTTCAGTGAAGCGCGAATCGCTCCGATACAGAACTACGTTAGCAAATTGCGCGGGGTAGGCAGATTTTATTCCTCTTTTTCACTCCGTCTCTATTCGTGCACGTCAACTGCCCGCCCTGTGTACACGTCCACTCGCACAGTGATGCTCCGATGAACGGCAGCAGTAGCGGGGCCGAGGTGATTGGCCCGGCCCGCATATCAACTGTGCCTCACCACACCTCACCACCACCACATCATCCATCATCGCCAAGGACCAATACGATTGTGTTTTGGCTACGTGCCTCGGCTTCTTGTTGCTCCTCATTACCTCTGCCTCGAATACTACAACCGCCCGCGACTTTGGATGATTCTCATCTGAGAGTTCTCGCATCTCCGTCAACGCCTTTGCTGCTTCGTGGACCAGTTCCAAATACACCCGAACGAACCCCGCAATGTCTACCTCAGGAACCATGCGCGCCGTTGTCTTCAACGGACCGCAAGCTGTGTCTGTCGAGCAACGCCCGATCCCTACCAGTCAGTTTGCACATACTTCCAATTCCTGATGAGCTCCATGTCAACCTTCAGTTGTCGCTGACCAGTTCCATAGTCCAAGATGATGGCGACGTAATCGTCAAGGTGCAGGCAACGGCTCTATGTGGCTCGTAAGGCATTCCCAAGACCAAAATGCTCCTGTTCCTTCCTTCTCACACACTTCCCAGAGAGCTGCATGTCTTCCGGGGCCACCAGCCATCTGAGACAGGCTTCATCATGGGCCATGAGTTCACCGGTACGGTTGTCGAAAAGGGCGCTGCTGTGACCTCCTTGGACATTGGTGACAGAGTTGTCTCTCCCTTTACCTCGTCATGGTAGGTTCTCTTCACTCTCCTGTGCCGAAAAAATTCCCAACACGGTTCTCTAGCATGCAGTGTTTCTACTGCAAGAATGGGTACACATCCCGTTGCGTTCGTAGCAAACTCTTTGGTTGCGGTAAGCTGGATGGCGGCCAGGCCGAATACGTGCGTATCCCTGATGCCGACGGAACCGCCATGAAGGCCCCAACCACCATCTCCGACAATGCTCTGGTTCTCATGGCCGACATCTTCCCCACCGGTTTCTTCGGTGCCAAGTCTGGCTTCAACTTGCTCAAGGAGGAAGAGAGATCAAATGCCACCGCCGTTGTCATTGGATGCGGCCCCGTCGGCCTCTGTGCCGTCATTTCGGCCCTCGAGTACCGCCCCAAGCATCTTTTTGCCATTGACAGTGTAGACAGTCGCCTAGAGCTGGCTAAAAGCCTAGGAGCAGAGCCCTTGAACTTCATGACTGATCGTGCAGGCATGGAGAAGCGGATCAAGGAGGTGACTGATGGCCGTGGAGCTGATGTCGTCATTGAGGTTGTCGGTCTGAGTCCAGCTCTTAGAACTGCCTTCGATATTATCAGACCATTTGGTGTCATTGCTAGCATTGGCGTCCATAATGGCGAGGTTCGCATCGATCTAAACTGTGAGGCTGCGGTTCGTCTTGCTGACACATGACCAGATTCCATGGACCGGGACCGAAGCGTATGGGTGAGTGTGATATTGACAACTATTCGGAGGATCGATGGCATGAATGGTGCTGATTGCCTCCATAGCAAAAACCTTCGGCTGCAGATGGGCCGATGTCCTGTCCGAGCCATTTTCCCCGAGGCTCTCGCCCTCCTGGAGAAGAAGCAGGACAAGCTTGGGTGAGTGCTGACCATACCCCATGGCCACGTTGATTCCCACGCCATTGGGGCACAACATCCGCGCCCTCAATCCTTCTCCTTGTTGCGAACTGACTTTGGTTAGGTTTATGTTCGACCGCATTATGCCATTGAGCGAGGCGGTTGAAGGATATGCGTTATTCGATCAGATGAAAGTCCAGAAGGTTATCTTCACTCCTTGATTTGGAGCATAAACCTCGTAGCCACAAAATCTGTCGCCTCCCTGCTCAATAAGACAGCAGGAGAAGCATGGAGTCTGCGGTTGCGATGATGGAATATTGAGATAGAAACAGGATCAATGCCTTAATTCTGTCTTGGCTTGACAATACCATCATGAATGAGGTAGTAAGACACGGTCGAATCATCGTGGACCACGGCAAGGAGTAGCCTCTTTTGGCGATCTGCACCACGCCAATCCCGCTTTTTGGATCCGTCGATGGTGCTTACTGGATCGAGTGGTCGTGGTAGAGTGTCGATGGAGTCAAAAATCGTAGCGAAAGAGCTCAGGGTCCATTGTTCGCTCAGATGCACTGGGAGAACCCACTCATATTCGGGCGCCTGGCTCGAGCGCTTGCTGTCCATCTCCAAAGCCTCAATTTGTTCGTCTGGATGCATGTACAGCCTATTGGGCGGGAGGCCGGTGATGATGGGACGCGGTCGGCTTTTCCCGTCACTGCGAACTTCAACATCAGTCCAGTCATGCTGATCTCGGAGGTTTCCAAGGACCAGAGCGGTAAGGTTGGTAAGATGTTCTGCAGCTGCCATTGCTGTTTGTGAAACTTTGACAAAGTGTTGGAGAAAACGAAGTTTCTAGATCGCAATGAGTGTTTGGAAAGAGAGTCACACAGGAAGATATTGTGGTGGTGCTTATTGAAGAGTTCTCAAGGTTCTCGAGGCAGGTGGCTCCAACAAGAATGCCGGTATGCCAATCAGATGTGCCCCTTGACCGACGCTTCGTTAGGTCCTTGATATATGCATATAAAGCACTCGATACATTTATGCATGTACTGCTGATGTGCCTTTCGAGTCCCCCGCTATGTTCATGTACAACCTAGCTCAGCAAATTCAATTCCATTACCAGGACCTCAATCATGTCACGGATGCAGGCGGGAGTGAGCCAGAAGACTCGTTCTGACAGGTTCACTCGTCTGTTGTTAGCCCAGCGCAACTTCCATGCCGAGCGGAGGGATGTGTTCATCGTCATAAGTAGGTCGCAAAACGATCCGAAGTGTGCATAACATCCATGCCTTGTCAAAGCCACACCTACTGTGATGTTTCCCATTCTCAGCCCCGCTCTGAGGCTTGTGAATCTTCATGTTGTTTCTCTTCCCAAGCCAAACTGATCTTTAGCCAGGCACACAACAACAGCTCTCTAACCGTCACAATTGGCTTGTCTCACTTGAATCATGAAAGGAATGGTAGGTGCGATGATTGCAATACCGGTCCATTCTGCGGTATTCCTGAGCGAAAAATCGTGTTTCTCTCAGCCACTTGAACAGGAGTAACTAGACGTGGTCATCGTCATGTATACGATAATGTCAGAGCTTTGAATGTCTGAAGTCCACCGGCAGGCCGGTAACTCAAATTCAAATGCTCTCGAGAGTTGAGACAAGAGTCCAAGACCGACTGGAGCAAAGCACAGCTCATCGGCATCCACGGTCCACAGAACTTCTGTTAATCCTGGTCAACCTACGTAACCGACCGAAATGCGAGCCAACCAGCAGCCAAGGTTTGGGGCAAGTGCGTGCACATCCCTCTCGGATCCCGTCATGAGTACGTACCTAATGTCAGGTTGTTTGGCTGTGTCGCTGACCTCACTGCGCGTATGGTCACACAATCTGCAGTGGCTGTGGTCGTGCAAAGTAGCGAAGCGTATTCCTGGTCCATCGTACGCGTATTGACGTAAGGGTCCAGATTTGCGACGGCTGTTCAGTGGCTCCTGCCCCAAAATCACTTGAACCGGACACCAGCGTTTCCATGCGGACCAGTGTCTATTGGCTACAACCGAAGGTAAACGGGACTCTAGCCACTGACAGACTGACAATGAAGCAGCCTCAGAGCCTGCCATGCCTGGACGGAGTACTTTGGCCGCCCCCCTTCGGGTGCACAGGCGTACCACCAATCCACCACACTCAGCAGGGCAGGCATAAACGGAGAGTCCAATCCGTCCGTCAATGGAAATCCAATCTTCCTGCCCAAGGTCGGTGCTTAGCGTCTAATTCTATTACGCATTTCGCATGTCCCGCCCCTTTCCACTACCAAAGGTCTAGACTCAGCCCGTCTCTTTCCCCTCAAGAACTCTTTGGCACTTTGCTATATCCTCCGACCCTGGCTCATCATTGTGGCTTGTTTTCTTCCTTTTCTCCTGCTTTTCTTCCACAGTGGCCCCCACATAACACGTCTTTGACACTCCCCGTACCTTGATATATTTCTTTGATTGAATTCTCCGACTCACCTTTTCACTCCTACGTCGCGCCACCTGCTTTCCCATTTACCAGGCCGGATATTCGAAGATACCCTTTACTATTTACCCCCGCCGTCCTTCGTCGCTGCTTCTCGGACGCAGTCTTCTACCACCTACCTTACTCGACCTAGTGGGTTGCTGTGTTAGTGCCTAATAGTTGACCACACATCAACAACCCCCTGCGGTACATCGTTATCCGACAAAACATACCTTAAACAGGACCTTTCTGTTTACGACGCCTTGTCGAAATTGTTGTCCATCGTTCTAGCCAGTTTCCAAGCCAGAACCTGATAATCGAATCCGAATCCGAATCGAATTGCTTGCGCGGTCATCACACGGGTGCCATTTTTACGAATTACAACCAACACATAGAGGGCTACACTGAACAACGTTGCTATCCCCTCCGGCTCAACAGCAGGCAATACATCTCGAGGGACCGAAGGCCCCAGAGGCTTGTACGTCACAGAGCAACGAAAGCTTCTACAATCCGCCGCAATGTCTCGCCCAGATTCTTCGCTGGACAGCAGCGAGAAAGAAAGGAACGCGCAGCTGGATCACCCCAATTCTGATCAATCCACAACTGAGACGAAGTTCTCCGACAGCAACAACAACCATACTGATGACAACAAGAAACAAGATGTCGAAGGAAGAATACCAACCAGTGCCGCCTCCGCTACCGTGGCAACCGCAGAGCACGAACTATACGAACCGTACGACAACGGCTACCACTTTCCACCCGCACACACCAAATCGCAGTCTATGAAGATTGGCGCAAAGGCATTCTGGAACTACACATGCACGCCCCTCGGCTTTTTCGTCGTTCTTTACGGCTTGAACGTCGTTGCCTGGGGTGGAATGCTGTTTCTGCTACTTTGCAATGCTTCCCCGGCCATGTGCTATCCGACATGCAGCGATATCAACTCTCCCCGGCGCAAATGGATTGAGTGGGATTCCCAGATTTTGAACGCCTTGTTCTGCGTAACAGGTTTCGGTTTGGCACCATGGAGATTCCGCGACTTGTATTTCTTGATGCAATACCGTATCTTCAAGAAACCTGAAGCTCTTGGCCGGCTCGCAGGCATTCATCGCGGATGGTTCCGCCTACCTGGTTCTGACCAACTCCCCGTCCACATTGGCCCCGAGAATGTCACTGAACTGGCAAACGAGCACCCAGTTTTGCACATCCCGCACCCCGAGAAAGCTATTCCAAACGCGCCCCTCACTGGGGTTCGAGCACCCCCAACGGCAATATGGAAAATGGACTTCGTCATCTGGTTCAATGTGTGGAACACATTTTTGCAGTGCGTTCTCTCAGGCTTCATGTGGGGAATGAACAGATTCGATCGACCCAGTTGGTCCACCGGTCTCTTCGTTGCGCTCGCCTGCTTAGCGGCTGCCATAGGAGGCTTGATGATGTTCTTTGAGGGTAAGAAAGTGAAGAGCATTGAAGGCGTGCCGCTCAGCAAAGAAGACGAGGAGCGTCTGTCAAAAGACAAGGAAATGGGGGTCCACCATTACAACAACATCAAGGACAAGAAGCCCAAGGAAAAGAAGTAGGGGAAAATGGTGGGTTTGGGCTACAAATGAGATACCTATACACGACGAGTAATACATTACGCAATGACAACTTTACCCGCAGACAATGACATCTACAATCGCTGCGGTGCTGTTACACTCCGGCCAATGATCTTGGGCCACTGACAATTATACATTATTGTGTAACCTGTAGGCTCTTGTCCGAAAGGGGTATGCGAAAGAGAATAACTGACGATGATGCCCTCCTGAAGTGTGTCGCTTGCAAGGACGCTTTACTATTCTGATCTGGTTCGATCAACGTTGCTGGCCCTCTTCAAACTGATTTGGGCTATTCCCGACTTCTTCACAATAGCAGAAATGACATGACGATATTCTTTTTGATACCCAGAGGGACATCCACGTTGTTGGTCGTAGATTGAGGATAGCTGGGGTACCTTATCGTAGCTGGTCAGAGTCTCACATGGACGCGTGACTTGCTCCGGGGACGCTAATCAGCCTCAGGTACCTACCTACCTACCTAACCTGGACGCGGAGTGGAGGTCAGAAGGTGCATAGGCACGGGGCCGCGGGCATCCATGGGAGTAGGGTGGGTTGCGGATGTGCCATGGGCGATGCTGAGGTACTCTGACACCTATGCGCAGCACTGGAGATACCCGAGGTACGAGCCCGACCACCGGCACCCACCTTACCCACAGATAAGCGGCTCGTTCCATCGCCCAGGTCAACACCTCAGCCATGTCCAAAGACTACTACATCCGCTACGAATACATCCTCCATTCCGACCGTCGAGAACGATTGTGCTGCAGTGCGTTGACCAAAGAATAACCCTCTTCCTCCAGCCTCTTCCGACTGCGCTTTTCCTCGCAGTAGGCTCATTCAATATCACAACCAGAGGATACTGGATAGGATACGTTTGGTCCTTCATCATCTCTCCTCTTACAACTCTACCCTCCCATAGTCGTCACGCCGGTCAAGTCCGACAGCTCACTCAACATGGCTTCCCGGGCCCTTATCCCCCTTCTTGTCGGCATGATGCTGTTGACGGGCGTCTGCAATACCCTTCTCACAAAGTATCAGGTACGTCGGAACTCCTTGGCTCCTAGAATCTAGACGCTGACTCGGCTTCTTCCCTAGGACATGCAATGCGTACGAAACTGCGATGCGAAGGACCCTACGAAACGGGCTTACTTCAACCAGCCCGTCCTCCAGACGGCACAAATGTTTGTTGGAGAGATGGGTTGTTGGCTGGTCATCGGTTTGATGAACCTGTATCGTCGCTACGGACCCGGAGCCGACCCCTCGTCTAATGGTTACGAGGCGGTTAACACGAATGATACCGATGATGCAGGTGCTCCTCTTGTTGGCAGCGTGGATGGACACCCGAAGCCTCAAGAAGAGGAAGGCGGCGCTATTCTGCGCGGGCCTCGCATCTTGCTGTTGGCGCTCCCAGCCATCTGCGACATCCTCGGCACAACGCTGATGAACATTGGTCTTTTGTTGGTTGCGGCCTCCATCTACCAAATGACTCGCGGCGCCCTCGTTCTTTTCGTCGGAGTGTTCAGCGTCATTTTTCTCAAGCGTAGACTCTTTTTGTTCCAGTGGATGTCTCTCGTCGGTGTCGTCACGGGCGTCGCAATTGTCGGCTTGGCTGGTGCCATCTACCATGAGAACACAAACGAGGCTGACGTCGAGGAAGGCTCTCCCGAGTCTAATGCCTTGTTGACTGTTGTGGGTGTTCTTCTCATTGCTGGCGCGCAGATCTTCACCGCGACACAGTTCGTTTTGGAAGAATGGATCCTGGAAAGGTCATCCATTGAACCTATCCGTGTTGTTGGGTTCGAAGGTCTTTTCGGCTTCACTGTCACTGTCATTGGCATGATTGTCTTGCACCTAGCTATTGGCCAGACCGACGCTGGACGCTACGGATACTTTGACATGGTTGAGGGCTGGAGGCAACTCACCCAAAACAGAGCCATCGGGATCTCCAGCATCCTGATCATGATCAGCATCGGGTACGTATATCCATCTTGACCTGACAAGCAGGCGTCTTACTAATGTGCTTCGATGCAGTGGCTTCAACTTCTTCGGTCTCTCCGTCACCAGAAGCGTCAGCGCTACCTCGCGATCTACCATTGACACATGCAGGACTCTCTTTATCTGGATTGTCTCCCTCGGGCTGCGCTGGGAGACCTTTAAGTGGCTGCAGGTTGTTGGATTTGGCCTGCTTGTCTACTTTACCTTCCTATTCAACGGAATCGTGCAACCCCCCTTCCAATTCCTTGTCCCCGATGAAGAAGTGGAGGAGCTCCTTCCGGAGGAGCCCATCGAACACCAGTAAAGAGGGGGCGCATAGTGTGTTATGCTCAGCGGGGCTGCGAATGGCTCCATGTTGTATTAGGAGTTTATATTTTGTGTTGTAGCTTGAATTAGATTAGGGATACGGAAGCGGCTGTATTTTAGGCGTACGAGAAGGTTCCTCAAAGACATGGCTCGGTTGCATTACATAAATCGTCTCTATTGTGCTCCAACTAAGACCGAATAAGGAAACCCGATGCAATGTTTCCCACTACCCCTTCAAAGATTTCCTACCTTCTTGGCTGAGCGGGAGGTGTGAATGCTGACAGAATTGAGGGATCAGCTGACAGTGGACCAACAGGTATATACCACTCTCACGTAGGCAGATGAAACCCGATCGCCTGGCCAGGCTCTGCGATCGACCCCAAACGAAAACCGTCCTATACACCAAGAAACGCCGCCCGTATGAAGGCATCATGATGCCTTTGCCCCCCAAAAAAGAAACCCGACAAACTGAACTTCAAACGCCATATTCCCAAGATGGTACCATTTCCCCCAAGGCAGGGAAGCTTTGCTTGTCACGCGCAAGATCTAGGTGACGTTGCAGAGAAGCTCAGCCTCGAGTATGAATTTGCCCTCCTTGTACTTCTCCGTAGCCTCGTACGCTTTATCATACTTCCAGCCAACGACATCCTTGCACTGCTTGCAGGTGATATCACGCACGATATGTCGTCCGGTCGTCATGTTTCGTTCGCTCGGCTCGCCCGTCTCGATATTGACGACGCTGTTGAATAGGTAGGCCTTGCCATGCTGGCCTCGGAAGTTCTGTTGGCGACACACCCGTCAGTACGAGGACGTGGACATAATGTCTGCTTGCAAACGGTCCAAAGCTTGCTCAGGCATTTGAAGTTGTGCAGTAGCAGCGGGAGGAGGGAATGTCCTAACGTACCCGGCTTATGATGTCTTCGTGGTTCGACAGATGCGCCTTGCATGTTTTGCAGCCATAGACCTTGTTGCTGTTCAAGTACGTGTTGTACGCCAAACCCATCGTGTCCAAAGCCTACTTCTACGTAGGCAGGATACGGCGGCAGACGGAACGGTTGTATCTGACTGATCGGGAGGCCTTGCCACGCGGGAGCGGCAGGCAGCTTTGGAGTTCGTCCTGTCGTCGACAGAGCTCTTGCAAAGCCGCAATAAAGAAAGATTGCTTTCTCCCCGTAGCACTCGACAAAAGTGTAGGGTGAGGATGACGTGAAGGGAAGGGGGAGGGTTTTTCGGGTTGACGTGTCAGGTGTCTTGAAGTTTGGAAAGGGACGTAGTCAGGCAGGCGGGTGTGCGGGAGACGGGAAACGGGAGGGGGGGGGGTATGTGCCAGGCCGGATGGATGCGGCGAACGCTCAGGTGAGCAGGTGAGGTGAGGAAGGTGCAGCTGAGGTAGAGATAAGATAGCTCGCTGAAGCGCGCGCGCCGTGAACCCTCCTGAAATCACCAGTCCGATGTGTGACGGATGTCAGCAACGTTCGAGTTTCTTGGAATGGGGACCGAGCTAAGCTGGACCTCGGAGGGAAGCACTGGGGCCGGTCACGGTTCGACAGTGTCTTCAGTTCAGCTCAGAGACCTGGTTAGCTATCTCGCTGTTTTCGTCTTAGGCCATCAGGATGCAGATTCAAAGACCTGGTCACGAAAGAATGCGGAGGACGGGGAGGGTTAGAAAGGTAACAGCTGGTTTAGCTGACAGAAGGCAACGGCGGTAGAAGGAGGGGTCGGTGAACGAGCCGGGATAGTCGACAGGGGGACCTGACACTTGGAGTGCACTGGTGACATTCCGATGATACCTTAGGTAAGGCAAGCAAGGTAAGGCCATTGCATACCCACCTTGCGTTACCTGGAGGTAGTGACGTACCTCGATCGGGTTTCTCCTCTATATCTTTTAGATGCATGAATTGTGTGATACCACATATACATAGAATTACGGTCTAAATCGATCCCCTATATATACATTGAACTAACCCGTTGTGCCTCGATCCTAAGATAGATACGTAGGTACGGTAAACCTCATCCGAATAATTCACCCTTTGCTCATGTCTTAATCGATGTTGCTTCGCATCATGTGGACCTCTTCTTGCGCAAACGCGCTTGAAGCTTCATTGCGTCCCTGCTGCAATTATGAGACCATGTTCTGTCCATCTTACCACGAGAAAGCCTCCTCGTTGAAGTCAATGGCCGAGTCGTGCTGCCGATCGCGAACGGCGCGGCGCACCTCATCGCTAAGAGCGCCAGGACCGCAGACACTGATGCCCATAGTGCCAACCTGCGACTCCTGCTCCGCCTTGATGAGCGTCTCGATGTTGGGGCGGCCAGGGAACATTTGGACAGTAGACGAGGGGCTGTGAATCTCCTTGGTCGATCTTGGCCGACTGACGAAGAGCATGATACGGAGAACATCTCTGCGTTTCTCCATCGCCAGGATCTCCGTCATCCAAGGTCGAATCCACTCAAGATGCTCAGGGCTCTGGATGGTCCAGATGAGAATAACCTTTCTCGCGGCGACAGTTCCGTTCGCATAGCCGGCGACGAGATCGCGGACGTGAGGTACTTGATGAGTAATGCCAACACCACCAGCAAATAGCATGACGGTACCATAAGAGCGCATGCTGTGCAGTCCACCATAGGGTCCCTCTACCATGCATGTCGTAGTCATCTTGCCCTCGGGACAAGCAGCGGCCTTGCGATACAGTGTGTCGGTCATTCCGGTGCGAGCGCGAATGATGAAGGACATGGTAGTCTTGCGCATGGCAAGAATGTCTTGACGGTTAAGAGAACCCTTCTCGGCCATAGGATCCTCAGCCTCCTCACTCCAAGCGACGGAAAAGGGATGAGACTGCAACAAGCTGAGGGATGGCATGTACATGTAAGCATGCTGGCCAGGTCCAAAGGTCCAGGGTCGAGCCATCGTGACCGTAACACGGCATGCGTTGCCGGGAAGAGCTTCAACAAGAGCCTTGCTGCCTCCGTGCCCGACGTTGCCGTAAAATACCCTCCAGGCACGCCAGACGCGGTCACCGGCCCAGAAGATGATTACGGGCCACATATACTTGAGCTGGGGCAGAGCCTTCATCTGCAAATGGTACCAGGTACCAACAACAGCTGTGATGGCAAGCAAAATGTGAAGGAGCTTGAACGTCTCGTAGAAAGCGTGTCTGATCGGGCTAGAAGCCTGGATCAAGATGGCCACGAAGGCGCATGTAGCCTTTCATCAAGGTTAGCCTCAATGCTTTTGATCTTGTTTTACTTGGGGCTTGTTTCCACTTACAACAAAGCCGAAGAGCAAGAAGGGAACGGTCGTTGCTGAGGTGATGGCGGTTTGCCAGCTGCTCTTGTTGGCGGTGTTGGCCATCCAAGCCAGGGTGTGAGCAAGAGCTTCCAGAACGACAATACGACCGAACCAACGATGCAGCAAGTTGAAAGTGTCGAAGGACATGCCGAGCATGGGAATCAAAGGGTTATTTCGGCCACCCATCAGGAACAAGGGAATCTGCATCCCGGTTAGCGTCATTGAACGAGTGTTGTCTCAAGTTTGACGAGCACAAGTTTCCCTGGTGCCTGAGACTCAATCTCCGAGAAGGTGGATGCGACTCACCATATTCACAACAGCCAAGGTACCAGTACGGTTTCTAAGCTGCGAGGCGGCTGCGGCAAAAGAGCCGGCGAAGGGGATGTTGATGACACAGAAAGCGATGTTCGTGGCGAAGTAACCGGTCAGAAATAGCAGCTGGAGTCGGCTGGGCAGGGTGCCAACGTTGATAGCAGCGCTGAGCTGAATTTCGCGGTTGTGTCGTTTGCTCATAACCGGAGCGTAGAGGATGTTCTTCTTCATCCAGGAGACCTTAGAGTCCGACTGGGCAAAGTACCGCTGGTTGTCGTTGTTGAGACAGGCGACGGTACGAACATATCTGACGATGACGGTCCACACTCTCCAGATGATGACAGCTGCGGCAATGGCAGCGCAGATGTAGTACAGATAATTGGAGAGGGAGACGTTCTCGTTGGCGGCATCGATAGCCGCCTGTTGCTCCTCGGGAGACTGCTTCGCGCCTCCAGCGGCCATGGCGAAGGTTTAGTTCGAAGATGTGAGAGGCTCAGACCAGAAGGTAAAGAGAGAGTGTGTGGTTTTGTTGACCTGTCGTCGTGATTGGCTGTCCTACTTCCAATATCCCCCAAGTTGCACAGCAAGTTTACCGGGAGTCAAAAGAGAACGTGGCACGTTTGCGCGTTATCGAGAGTGAATCGCCTACAAGAAGATTGGTCGAGGCAGTCGATCAGACACTAAGTCGTATGTGTTTATTTGTTTGAGTTTTCGTTATTCTTTCCCGTCTTTTGGAAGATATCTCGAAGCCGGCACGAAGGGTACTTCCAAAAGGGGTGGGCCGGTGGAAAGAAGCGTCAAAAAGTGCAGTCAATGCAGAAACGGAATTGGCGTCAGTGGAAAGAGAATTTGGACGTCTTTGGGTCAGAGACGTCAGCTGACAGCCCAAGTCTGGTAGGACGAGGGAGTTTGTGAAAGGGAAGGACGAGAAGGGAACAAATGGCCGTAGAGTAGAAGGAAGGAGAGAGGGGGGAGAGAGAGCAGAAATTGGGAGGAATAAGAGGCGAGAGATATCAGTGATGTAAGTACCAGACACACCACTGAGGTAGGTAGGTACTTCGTACGGAGCTTGGTCTGGGTTAACTAACAGGACGGGAATGACTGGACTGGACCTGCGCAAGGCAAAGGGGAGTCCGACTAGGAATTAGTCGACCCCGGGCCCCAAGATGGTGCGTTCCTGGATCCTCTCTGGGAGGGCTGCACCGTGTGGGCCGTCACCCGAGAGTGTGTGAGTGGAGGTGTATGAACTGATACGGCCCAGTTGATGGAGACTAAAACACCGTTTTCCACAAGACAAGGAGGGACTGCTCTCTCCGCAAATATGGATGTCCCCAGATAGACAGAGAGGAAGCGCTTCCCAGTCGCTCCGAGGCACCACGTCCACAGTTCTCCTAGGGTACGAAGTCCATTTCATCAGAGGCGAGAGCAGGGTGTCAGTTAGGGATATTCCACCCGATGGCTCTGGAGTACGGATACATTCAGAGTGGGCGCTGTCAACCTGGAAAACAGAGAACACATGATATTACGCAAGATTCTGGCCAAGTCAAGTCGAGACGAGGCGCGGCCCTCGGGACATGCAGGGCAGGGCATGACTGTGCAATTGTAGGGTGCACGTTGACAGGCAAACAGGGGTGATCTCGGCAAGGGAGTTGGACTCCCATATCGTACACGGCATTGGTACGGCAGTTGAAGGGGGAGGGGAGAGAGTGTGTGTGCGCGCGCGCGCGCGCATGGGTGTGCGTGGTGTGTGTGTGACCGCAGCAGCTGAGAGATCGGATTCCTTAGTAATAAGAGGAAGGGCCATAGAAGAGGCAAAAAACCTAACAGAGTAGCAAGGACCGCTGACAGGTACGGGACGACATTGAGGTGAGAAAGAGAGGACGACAGGCGGCAGGGATAGACGAGGCGAGACGTTGCCATGATGAAAGGTACGTACTGGCCGCAGCAGATCAGGGAGCCACGACGCAGGGGCTCGCATGCGCAAGTGGTGGGGTTCTAGGTTCCAGGTTGTCGCCCGAAAGGCACGTACTCGGATGTACGTACTGCTTTTCAAGTCTCCCCTCACTTGCCAACTTTCCATTTCCATTTTCGAAGGACGGGAGACGACGACGACAAGTTAACAAGGCACGCTGACGCAAGGCAAGAGCCCTACGACCCCTTCAGGCCTTTACGATGCCATGCACGGCTGCAGGTGGTGTCTCCGGCCCTTATCTGTCTCTCAACATAACTCTGTCGGTCTGTCGGTCTCTTGGCTCTTCCATACCTGCCTTACCTACGATGCGTGTCTTACATGGCTACGATGGCACCTAATCCTGGCTAAGCCTGGCGGTTGTAAAGCTGATTGGCTGTAAGATCGATTCGTACCTTGCAGATGGTGAGTTGGTATCTTGAAAGGGCCAATACTGGGCGGATAGTCAGGGGCCAGCACTTTACACTTCACACAACCTAACGCCATCAACCACTTCCTACTTACCACACCGCACACACACACCCCGGGTCAAGGCTCATTTAACAGTGGTGTCGCCGACTCGCCGTTATTCATAGTGCCAGCAGCCACGCAACGGAACACATGGCTAAGGTTGTGTGCCAAGTCACAAATATGCAGTTCTGCTGTAGGACACGGCACCCAAAAGGAAGGGTATCCGAAGAGGGGAAACCTTATGGCGCACCCATTCAGGGGACGATTTCAGGGCTGCCTCTCTTATACGATGTATCCGTAGCCGGTGTGTCTTTTCTTAGACCTTGACTCTCTAGACGATGCAGAGGCAGGGGCAACGATGTGCAGTCTTGTGACTCTTGTCTGTCCTTGTGGTTTCCATCTACGGATAGATATCGATGGCCTTTGCGAGGTTTCTTGGACCTTACTTACCCGATCTGACACGGCTAACTGTACCGACAGGACGTTCTGTTCAGTGGCAGGCTGGCATCTACGCAGTGGAGAGAAGGAACTTGGGAAGAGGAAAGAAAAAACAACATGGTCATCCACTTTTCCAGAAAGACTCTGAAACAAGCCGCTCCCAAGACCAAGACTACGCTAAGCCAATTAAAGCAGGGATCTGGTGGGGTTGCTCACGGGTAACGGGGCTACCTAGCCGTGCTGGACTGCTAGTTTGGTCAACCGGCCGGCTACGAATACCTTACTGCGTAAACAACCGACGCCCTACCCTTTTTTCCCCATCATCCCACCAACACTGCAAACTTCTGACTTGGCGCTACCAGCCTTGATCTCCGAACAGCCAATCTGTTATTACGACATGCGTCCAGTTGCGCACTTCGTAATGGGAACATGCAGGAGCTGGTACCTGTGCGTCTCGGTCTTGTCACACCAAGGAAGCACCGGTGGAGGCCCGCAACCACTTTGCAGTAGAATATCTGCATGGCTCCGAGACTGAGGGCTTGATCCAATCTTAGAGACCGCATCCAGGACACATCCAGGAAACGCTCCCACACCACTACACCAGGAGTTACCGAATTCCCCGTCGATCGGGTCCGCGTCTCATCCGCATCGTCGTTGCCCACTGTCTTTGCGCTCTTCGTCCAGTCTTCTGACACTGACCCAGGCGCCAGATCACTGCACAACATCGTCACATTCGACTAAAACAGCCAAAACGAGCGACTCGCCGCCCACCTTACGCTTGCCTGAAGCAACCCGACCCGATCTATTCGGTTATACTTGTCCCTCTGCGACAAACAGTGTCTGGGATGTGGTCTAGCACACCGCGGGAGAGTGGGGGTTGATGCACGGCGGAAGCCAACAAGAACCAACGAGAACCCGGGCATTGCACGACGCAGCATTCTCCCGAAAGAGCGGCGTGGCGGCGTAGCAGCTTTGGGGCTGATGCGAGATGCGAGCAAACAATGAGAACAAACCGCGATCGGTCTCAATTGCTGTCCGAACCACTGCATGATATCGTCATCTAGAGTCACACAGATCCCCCGGCCCGGCATGTCGTTGTCAACTTATCTCGCCCGTATTCCGCTAAAGATGTTTTCCTCTACCAAGACAGTCCATGCTAGATGTCGTTCTGTACGGAGTACACATCGTATCGGTTTTGCTACGGTAACTTTTTCGTGTTTGCTTACTGTTTAAGTGAGCGAACTTCGAATCATCGCCACTTGAATTGCTGGCCGCATACGGCGATGCTGTTGACACGAATTTTCAACCATAATAGAGAATACGTCCTGTGTCTTACGGGTCTCCGAGGTTTCTTCTTATCTCTTGTTTCTCTTTCTTGCTTTTCCGCCTACCTAGTCTACCGTCAGACTCAGCTCCGAGGTTTCAGTACCCACGAATCCCGGGGAAATTTCAACGAACGTACCTGTTACCTACACAGCGAAAACTGCCGCCGTCAACCATTCTTTGTAGGTTGAATGCGATGCTGGGCTACCAAAATATCGTCATTGAGCCGCAGAGAGCGAAAAGGTCTCGCTGCTTAACTCCAGCCGCCAGGTCAGTTTCTAGTGTGACACTGCTCGGAATCTGACCGGCGACAATATGTGTTTGCCATAATCTCTGCTGGTGTGCACACCTGACAATGCGCGTAGACACGATACGCCACAGTCCTCTCGCCATAGGCTCTTGGGATGACGGCGTTTCAGTCGGGTAAAATATCTGGATTTTGCATGATCGATGAACATGGGATAAGTCACCTCCTCGGTCCTCGCCCGCGCGGGCCTTGACTCAGACGACACAGCGAAAGAAGAAACGCCCCAGCCTCACCGCGAAATTGATTTGCGGATGGCTTACTTCGCTAATTAGTCAGCCTCAGTCGGTCGGCCTGCGAATACATATCGCCGTTTGTCACGGCCATGCCGCCGTCGTCATTGGATCGCACTCTGAGACGGATGCGGTGCTAGACTCTAGAGATCTGAACAAGTCCATTTTATCAACGCAACACTGGCGAACAGGTCGCCTGCCCACCCATCCTTCTTACCGCCTTATCACGACTGATCCCCACCCTACAGTACTGGTTCTAAACGTGCTCACCATCGAGAAAACATGGAAGTTTCATGCCATCGTCACAACGAAGCATACGAGCTGTGGTATGCGTAACATATTGCGAATCATCAAGTGCAGAGTCGTATTAGTCTCCTGTCTCGAATTGTGGCCTAGTCAATCGCTACCTCCCTTTGCAGGCTCTCGCTCTGTATCCCTGAGAGTGAGCATATACCATCAGCTTGCCATGCCTCAGCTTTTGAGGTCTCCTAGCCGCTATCTATCATCTACTGCTCCTCGAAGACCGAACAAGCTACCTGAGGCTCTCATGCTAGGCTCCCGGGAAACCACTAGAAGGACCAAGCAGACCCGTGGGTACCTGTTATTTTTGTACGAGCACGCGACACAATCTTATTGACAGCATGCTGGTACGGATACAGATATCTTGTACACCTTTCAGTAACCCACGCGGTACGGAATGCTGCCCTATTCAAAGCCTCCAGCAAGATTAACATGATCCACTGAATGGGCCCCAGTGCCCGCCGTTGGCCTCAATGATCTACAACCGTTTCCTGGTGTTTCTGATGGTCATCAATTGCTCAAAGGGCCTGTTTATTCGCCGTGATGCCAGCGCATAACCAAAACATATCGCCCTGACAGGAAACGCATCACGTCTGCTACGGGTACTTTGTCTGAAGTTGTGAACAAATCAAACCGTCCGATTTCGACAAACGCTCTTCCGTCAATCGCCGTTGGACCTCACCTTCAGATCTTACTGTGACTGCTTCTGTACTACCTGCCAGCCCCCGGAATCCCGAGTCAGAAGTCCTCCGTCTTAAATGGCTTATACAGATGCGTCTACGGAGTACAGCCAATCACTCTGAAATGTCAAAATATCTTGCTCACGCTGCCACGGGCCTGCCGCACCATTACGAGAACGTCGGATAAGCAACTCAAGAGACGATTGATTGGAGACGAAGGCGACAGAAGAAAAAGAACGGTGAGGTCCACAT